GAAGGGGGAGAGAAGCCGAAACCAACCCCCCCCCCCCCCCCCCCTTTGAAAGAAAGATGGGGGTTGACCGACTTTCTTCCCCTGTTGGTGCATCTATGCCTACATCTTGTCCGTATATTGTTCATGCCAATATTCACCGTGGTCAAGTCAATACTTTTTTTGCTGTTGGCGCGCGACGAAGGTGGGGGAAGAAGACAGAACATGACATGTCAATGACCTCTTCTTTTTGGAAAGGAGGCCCGTTAAAAAAAAAAGGACTAACACGCTATTGTACAGTATAAGAGCCTAGACCATGCCTCGGGGGAGGGGGGGGAGGTTGTCTATTTCTACGGAACAAACCCCAATATACCACCTTGTTTCCGCCGAGACGTTTTCTTGCCAGAGCCCAGGGATAAGCTATTCCCAATGTTAATCAAAATAGTATCTCTGACCTCCCTCCTGTGAATTGCTCCTAGCAAACCTGGTGGATCCCAGGGGCCGTCCCAGGTCTAGATATAGTCGACTACGCATTCTGGGTTGATAGTGCTTTATTCATTCCTCTCTTCCTTGCCTTGCCTTGCCTGGGAGAACGCAGCCCCCAGAGAGCATTCAATGATAGAGTGATGCTGCACTTGTTTCAGACGCAGAAGCTGCATGACGGCTCTTTTCTTCCAAGTGCCTTCCTCTGAGTCACAACAGGGACGCGTCGAGGATTTCTAGAGGCACGAGGACGATAAATAAAAAAGTCCCTAAATGCGTCCCAGGAGTCACATACACCTCACGAACACGAAAAATGCTACGAGCAAAAAAAAAAGTCACATTCGATCGTATTGAATAGTTGCACTGGACTTTTGCAGCCTGTGGACTCCCATCGATCAGAATCCGAGTAACAATGTCTCAGTCACACCTAGCAGATTTCTAAGCTGAAAATGACCCCTCTGCTCTGGGATTAGCATCCGACTATCGAGCCGGACCGTCCTGTAAGTCATGACGTCTCCTTTATTTATGATCTGAATCTGAGAAAAGGCTGTATTGAAACAATAACATCATTTTTTTTGCATCGTTTTCTGCAATTTACAGCCATTTATAAATGGCAGAATCATAAAATAATGAGCGTCGACAGCCATCACACCATTTCTCCAATAGCATTTTTCATGGATGCAAACAGGATTATTGCCTTCTTACCGAATTTCAAATATAAAAATGTGTTCAAGCTAATGGTGGAATCAAGTTGGAGGGCAGTCTACTTCCAATCCTTTCAGCATCGTCTGCATCGAACTGAGAACTCGCTTTCATTTTGCATCCACCATCTCCAAGGGACAATGCCTTTTTTCTATTGCATTTCGCTCTTCTCCGTGAATTCCACCAAGAGCTTCTTTGGATACATTACTCCTCTCATTCGTGAACACGAGTATTCTCATCTTTCAGTGAAATCTTTTAACCCTGTGCCACATTCTGCCAACATGATACATCAACACGACATCCAACGTGGTAGATATCATGCGTAACGGAAGCAAAACCCACGTAATTTTATCACAAATTGTGTCGGACAGAAAACGGCATGGGATTAAACCAAATCTTCAAAATGAAGAGAAAGTAAGCAAGTGCATTCATTTCCGAGGCAACTACAGCAACGTACATTGCAAGCATGCAACATACTCGATAATCCTCTTTTCGTAGCAGGAATTTTCTCAGACGATAAATATATGGGACGAATGATGTAGACTGGGACTGCATGAGAGTTTCCTAAACCTGGGGGCGACTAGGAACGGAGACCGAGACGAGACGGGAACGAGACGAACACGGAATATCCTCCAGGGAATGCGATCGAGAGAGGCGGAAATTTCTTTCCTCCTTCACATGTCTTCCAGGTTGCGGAATGCCTGCTGCATCTGCTCGTACAGGTCTTCGAAATCCGCCTTGATCTTTGCCTCTCCGTCCTTCATTGGATCCTGGGGAAATTCCATTTCGAGATGCGATTGCATCAAGAGTATCGGCTATAAGAGCGTAGGAGACCTAAGGCCCATATCACATTCCCTTAATTGAAATGAGAATGAGAACATGGAGAACTGTAAAATGCTAGATTGTTTCATCCACATACCATTAGCACAAAAATACCATTACGTTGAAGAAAACGCAGAAATTCCGCCGTAGAATTAATATTGAAAATCCCTCTGTCATTCTATACACTTCTACGCAAGACAATGATTTTGTATTTTTAACTCAGCAACCAACTCCTTTGATTCGGGATGGCGTGCAACTCTCCTGTTGATGATTGCATGGCTCCATCAACAGAAACGAATCAATTCTTAATTTCGTTAGCGATGCATCCGGAATTCAAAAACCCCCCTCAACATCGACATTCTGCTTTGAGTAAGAAAGACTGTACGACCGGTAGGGTGTTGGTGGTCACGTGACGTGTAAATGCTGGTTCACCTAACACAGAACCTCTTTAGTCGCAACGAAACCAATTTTATCAGAGAAAAGGACGCGTAATGCGTGTGTCCCAGCAGGGAAAACGAAGCGAGATTCCGTATCGGCTCACCTTGAACTTCATGGAAGAGACCTGGTAGAGGATATTGCCCATGCTCTCGCGGATGATGTTCCAGGTGATCTTGGTCTCGCTCTGGGATGTGCTTTCGACCGCGTGACGGGCCAGGTCGTAAAACGCGACCATGTTCTTCAACATCCCGACCGTCTTGTAGAAGGGGCAGAAGCGATCGTATGGAGAGTACCTACACATGCCAGCACAGTCACAACCCCCGTCTTCCGCATTCAGTTTTGAGAGGGTAACGCAAAGCGTGCAAGCATTATTGTATCCAGATCGCATTTTGAAACTATGGTATGTTTTGCAGCCAAGGGATCAAATACGAGGGCCACTCAATAAGTTATCTACCTGAATATGAAAGGGATGAGCAACAGGCCTGTGCCTGCTGTGACATGTCTCGACAGGTCTCGTGATAAAAATAAAGTGTTATTTTTCCCCTCGGATGTTTCTTTCTTATTTAGGTAGATAACTTATTGAGTGACCATCGTATATCTATCATTTATACTGGCTGAGGTGGATACGAGAAGGTTGCGTTTTAACTTAAAGCACGACAAACGCGGTTTTCTTTTAATTGCTAGAAACGCTCTATTGGGATGTCTATTCGAAGATGATCCCAGGTTCCTTCAAAGCGAGACTTTCACCTGCTCCTTTTATTTCTCAATTACACTTCCGGATATATTTATGGATGAAATGTCACATGTGTGGCCTCTGTTTAATAACTTCTTCCAGAAGGAGCTGGGAAAAAAATTGCCAGTGAATTTAATTTTACTTTTCGAAATTACTGGAGAGAAAGAAAGACCACTTTTCGTGGTACGTCTGGCATCGTTCATGCGAATGAAAATAAAAGACAGACAGGTTAAAGAAATTTCTAGTTAGCTTTTTTATCGTCGCGCCCATCAAATCAGCAAAGTCATTCTTCTATCTGCTTGAAGTCTGTCATACAACTTATATGGCAATCACGTGGCATCCTGCGGAGCAAACGCTACATTTTCATACTGCCAAAAAAAAAATCAGGAGAGCGATTCGATTACCATAAGAGATGCATTGCGCCCTTCGATGACCAGCCATCAAATTTCTGATACCGATTTTGGTAAAGCTTGTCATCACCGACCCACGTGAGCTTCGTTGATCACAAAATCAAAGCTTAGAAGAACGGTTGGACTTTTCGTTACCCATTCTGCTGAAGGAAGTCTTCCTTGAGGAGCTTGGCGACTTCGAGGGTGATCTTATCGGCCTCGGCCAGAGACGCCTTCCCGACCAGCTGCACGATCTCGCTCAGGTCCTCTTCCTCTTGCAGGATTTCCTTCACCTTCGTCCTCAAGGGGATGAACTCGGGGAAGTTCTTGTCGTAGTATTCCTCCAGAGCTCTCATGTATTTGCTGCGTCACACGGCACTCAAATAAATCATCCTCTCATCTTAAAAATCCCACGTTCGTACTCGAGACTATGGGAGACAATTCGATATTTCGAATTCCACTTTCAGTGGTTGCTTAAGTCGAACGTTTGCATCGCTCAAGTCGGATATTTACACATTGGAACGCGGTAGCGCTTTGATACAATGAATGCTCTCCCTAATTTCATGTCTTTAATTTTATCATCGCAGATGCACTGTCTTCCTGAGAAAAGACTCCAGGAGATGAACCAGAACAATACTAAACTCTCCAGTTGGATGTCGTTTACTTGGCTTCAATATCGTACCGGATATTTGAGATAAATTTAGGTTTACGGTACCAGAAATACTCATAATAGTACTTAAAAAAGGTTCTCTACTCTCTTCGTACATCTGGCCTTTCCATCATCCTCATCGCGCAAGGAAATGGAAAATATGCCAAAACCAGTGAGATTTGTCATCCTAGGATATGCAAATTCTGCGAAGTTCTACTTCCCGGTGAGTGGAGGGAAAGTCATGATCTATCATAAGATAAATTTAGGTTCGAAATATTCTTGATTGAACGTGATTGACATGGGATTTTCCGAAAAGTTAGCCGACACCGTATTTATTTTGTTAGACCGGTTTTTGTCGTCAGAAATTTCACTCACATACAGTCTCATTTTCCTTGCGGATAAAACTTTCCGCTTCCGATCTTTACCCTGACAATGACGCAGCCGGATTTGAAATCGATTTTGCCTCGTTTAAAGAAGGCCCACGAAACAGTCACGTCAAGGTAGGCCACTCGCTGCTTCAAAATGACGGCACCACACGATCGACTCGGCGCGTAAAAAAATAGACGATGCGAGAGACTCTTATGGAACGCGACCGCACACCTGTAAGAGATGAGCCAGTTGACGGAGGGGAAATGCTTGCGCTGGGCGAGTTTCTTGTCGAGACCCCAGAAGACCTGGACGATGCCGAGCGTGGCAGACGTGACGGGGTCGGAGAAATCTCCTCCCGGGGGACTCACGGCCCCCACGATGCTCACGCTGCCTTCGCGCTCTGGGTTCCCGAGACATTTCACCCTACCTGGAATGCATGTAATATGATACGAGTAAGCACGATGTGTGCCAGGGTAGATCCGTCGACGATGTGGCTGAAATGAGTACGCGAACGGAAACATGCAAGGCCTAGACGAGGCGCTTTCAAGCGAGATGAGGGGGGGGGAGAGGGGAAAGAGAGTCATCGTGGTTTCCCGTTTGTATCCAGTAAGGGAGAATATAACGAAGGACGAAAAATATGCGTTATAGAAAAGTGAAAAATGAAAGAATTAAGTGAATAAAACATGGAAATGGTACGGATTGATTCCTCTCCGTACTTGATACTCGAGCCGCAGCAATCATTTGCAGGACACTCGAACCTGTAAAGAGTGCTGTTCGAGGGACATGCAATCGACGGCTACCACCTGGAACTCTCGCGTTCCCTCGAATCGCGCCGCTTCTCGAATGCGAATGCCAGGGGACGATCGCAGAGAATCGACCGCGTTCTCGGCGCGATCGTCTCTCGGCGATCGGACTCCGAGCGAAAGAGACGGACACGGACCCGCCCGTTCGTAGAAGGAGGCGAGCCGAGCTCCCAGATAGGCAGGATACCCGGAATCGGCAGGCATCTCAGCGAGACGACCCGAGATCTCTCGCAAGGCCTCGGCCCATCGAGATGTGGAATCGGCCATCATGGACACGACGTAACCCATGTCCCGGAAGTATTCCGACAGCGTGATCCCCGTGTAGATGGAAGCCTCTCGAGCCGCGACGGGCATGTTAGACGTGTTGGCGACGAGGGACGTCCGCTTCATCACGCTCTCCACTCGTCCGTCGATCTCGAGTTCCAGCTCGGGGAAGTCTCGCAACACTTCGGACATCTCGTTTCCTCTCTCTCCGCATCCCACGTAGATGACCACGTCCGAATTGGAGTACTTGGACAGAGACTGAGAGATCACGGTCTTCCCGCAACCGAAGGCTCCCGGGATGGCCGTCGTCCCGCCTTGCACGCACCTGCACCCGACACGAGATCGACGACCGGTAAAAACTCGAGGAATCGAAGAAGTGCCTCACGGCCAGACCGATCCAGATGCATTTTCCATGCCTTCCGAAGTTAATAAATCGTATCCATCGTTCTGCCCAGGCTTTGGGAATCGCACGCGATTATTACTTTCTGGAGGTACTTTCGATGACGAAGATGGACCTCTGCGTCGGAAATGATGACTGTAGGGTGAACTTCATTCTTAGATATTCTGATGACCATCGTGAGCTCTGCTTCAGAAAACATACGAAAATAACTCCGAACGGTCTGGCTCTCGTGGCAATTTATGCCGTTCGCGTTCGAACGAAGAGAGACGTCGAGATTACGGGAAGAGGGCATCCAGGACGCGCTGGCCCGTGAGGAGAGGGAAATTGCCGGGAAGCTTCTCCGCCACCGGTCGAGGCTGTCGGACGGGCCAGATCTGAAGCATCTGGTACTCGTGCTTCTCCCCGTCGAACTCCGTCGTCAGCACCACGTCCTGGGAGGGGGAAACCGGAAACGTGAAACGAATCGAATCGATCTCTCGTCTCGCGATCCGCGAGGCCTCGTACGCTGATGCTGTAGGAGCCGGGCTCGGCGATGTAGGTGACGGTTCCCTTCGCCCTGGGCGGGAGGAGGATCTTGTGCTTCAACAGCGTGTTCTCCTGCACGAATCCGAACATGTCTCCGCCGGTCACGTGACTCCCGACCTGGAACGAGATCGGCGTCTCGCGGGTCATCGAATCGACGGCTTTCACCTTTACTTGCGCGTGAAGGAGTCCGAATACGAGTAGGGGGTTGAAACTCCAGAGTGAAAACCGACTTTCGTTTCGATAAAATCATATATTAAACAATCTCGCTATGGACGCGCTTCTATTACCTTTGATAGTGATTAATTCATTCATTTTTTGCGAAATGGGAAACACGTATTTAAATTTACCTCCAATAATCTACGCTAAGGAGACATATTTCAAAATTTGGATTTTTCCTCTACTCAGCCATCAAACAGGTACTTCTGAGGGAAGTTTAAATTTTCTGTCTGTTTCGTTGGATCAAAAAAAAAATCAGGGAAATGGGGCTGAAAAAAGTGCCTAATGGGTTTCAACGAATTTTTATTTTTAAATGAAGGCTCAGGGAACTCCATGCCACTCAGTTTCAGCCTTATACATTTCCCCTTTTTGCTGGCAGAAAAAATGTATTTGGAAAAGCCGACCCACCCAAAAGCCATGCCCGGAGGGGATGCCCCATGAAAGCTGAATACTCCCTCAGCTCAGTAATATCATGTCACATACGTGTGGCAAGTTTCACCTATCCATTTCTGTATAATTCGCCACAACAATTTTTTTTTTTTTTCAAAACATCGCCCATCGGAAAAATTCCCCCAGGGGAAGTGGAAAACGAAAAAAAGATTCTAAAATAATCATTTACTCGACGGTATCGCTTCGCGATCGAGAAAACAAACGAAAGTCGATGAAGAAAAGGAAGCCGGAACCTTGATGTTGATGGGCTGGAAATCCCACTTGATTTCGTGGTTGAGAGCATTAACGTTGATCCCCTTCGGAACGTAGATGCTCTGCATGAGCTCGCTGATATCCTTGAGAGGTCGCTGGATTCCGTCGAAGATGTTTCCCATGAGGCCTGGACCCAACTCCACGGACAGGGGCATGCCGGTTCGGAGGACGGGGTCGCCGACGGTGACGCCCGATGTGTCCTCGTACACCTGCGAGGGGGAACCGATGCCGATATGTTCAAAGTGCCGGAATGCACGCCGATGCGGCGAAAGCCGTTTGGAACCGTAACGATTGAGGCGTGAGGAGCAAGGAGCTCTTTCGGCTTGGCAGAAAAGCTTTTGTAGTGCGACATCAGGTTCTTAATAGAAATTCTATGGGTGGATTTTTGAACAGAGCATTATCCGATAATGCAGCTTCATTTAAGAGAAAATGCATCATAAATCCGGTATATAAAGCTGCATTATCGGATAGTGCTCTGTTCAAAAATCCATCCTATATTTAATTGCAAATATCTACTGAGGCGATTTTCCCAAGAATATGCTAACTTTCGGCTTGAAATTTAAAATGTTGACAAAAGAATATGAAATATATAGATCCGTATAAGTTTGCATGGACCGTTTGGAACGCAGGAGGCCAAAGACCCAAATCGCGCTTCATTTTCGCGACGTCCAGACTTTTGGACGAAACGTCCGAAATGTCCGTTTTGGACATGTGAGGAATATCTTCCCAAATGCCAAAAAAAATTGCTGGGAGCGTTAGGAGTCGGCAGCGAATATTTTAATACTTCCGAATTCGTATCCAAATGATGGAGCTACAAGACGTGGTTAATCCTAGTTTTCCTTTCAGTTTCTACGAACAATAACTGACAAGAACCGAAAAAGCAACTCAAAAAGTATTTTTAAAAACCAATTCAAAAGGCAAAAAGTCGACAGAAAAGGAAGCTTTCCTTGAAGCATCTCCGAGTACAAAATGAGGAAACTCGGCCAAATGATCAGAATCCATGTGTCGCTTTCTACTCGATTCGGAAGTCGTTGGACGCGAGGAATCGCTTTTTTCAATGCAAGGGACCGCGAAAGCTCCTGCCTGCAGGCGACAACCTTTCCTGATTTTTTTTTTCTTCAGGATTTTGAAATGGAAACTGAATGGTAAATTGAGGGCCAACAGCTGTGCAGGTATTTACCAACACAGCTGGTCCTTCTACAGGGTGGCCCAAAAAAAGGCAACCAAGGTCTTCTTTCCAGAGTTTTTTTTTTAATCATCGAACCCGTTCGGTACAGCGGTTAAGATCGGTTCACCATTTCTTCCTTAGCTGCTAAAATGACGTTCGACGAGCCAAATTTTCTTTATTTTAACTGGTGCATCTTTCTTCTGAATTACCAGCAACAAACAATATAAATATGATACTACATTTCGGTTACCTTCTTTGGAACACCCTGTATTTCTCACATTTGCAGGCTCGTATGAAATTAATGCAAACACGAGCAGTTTCATCATTCGATATAGGCCTAATTTACCTATTGTTAATCGTTACTAAATATTGCAATTGTTACCAAAAACGGAACTAGTGTCGGACATGCGAGGGTCCTCGATCCTCAAACGCGAAGGTCTGGATGGATTTGTGTCAAATGAGATCGCATTGGTCGTAGGGGTTCAAACATCAGACATCAGACATCAGACATCAGACTCGGCACCTATTCATCGAGTCTCTTTCTTCGCGACTTTTCAGTGTTTCCGATTCAGCGAATGCGGTTGACTGGTTGACACTCGTAAACGGGGTCACTGGAGAACGTATATCATCCTACGGAGGGGGGGGGGGCTGACTACCGAGACAAAAAACAGCCTTACACGCGCGAGGACTGCGAAAGAAGATTTTAGGCGCCGTGAAGTTTTGATTCCCTCGGGCCAGGCAGGACTCCTCCGGAACAAGTGAGTTAAGGAGCCAGCGCGCATGCGCGATGCGGAGGGTCGAGTCACGTGGAGTCACGAGACTCGAACCGTCCGGCCTCGTCCTGACTCATCCACGGGACCTCTTTTTCTTTTCCTTCCGTTTCTACCTTCGATCACGAGGATGTTTGGGGTCGATTTAGGTGTTTGTGCGAGGTGTAACTGCGGGTTCTGAGGACCATTTTTCGCGAGTCCTTCTTCCCCACGCGTGGAAGACTTAGCACCGCGAGAATTGGTCTGAAACCGGAAACGAGGGAACGTCGGTCCGAGCCCGGAAATATCTCCGGACGACGGGGAACTATCGGGTAGAAGTAAAACGAAAGAAAGAAAACGGTGAGACCTGGATGGTGGCCATGCTGCCCTCCAGACGGATGATCTCGCCGACCAATTCTCCATAGCCGACTCGGACCAATTCGTACATGGCCGCGCCGGACATCCGCTCCGCGGTCACCACTGCGGGATGCAAAAAAAATCGATGAGAAAATTGCGGGAAAACGAAGTCGGAAGGGGAAACGGACAGAAAAACGGTACCGGGTCCGGAGACGGCATGGACGAGCCCAAACTTGGATTCGCGTTCTTCGTCTCTGATCTTCTTCAACTTGGTGTCGCCGGTCTGAACCTGTTCGAAGAGATCCAGAGCCGTCGAGTGTTCCACGTCCACGGCTGCCATCGTTTCACTCTCAGAAGGGAAGACCGAAGAAGGACTCGGTGGCGTTCCGGAGCGAGGGGAAAGAAGGACGTCGTGAGACTGGAGGATGGACGGCTGAGCATATCTATGGGGCACCGATCTCTCTCTCTCTCTCTCTCTCTCGCTCTCTCCTGAATTCGCTTATCATAGATTTTTGTCCATCCATACGGATGGCTTCTATCGAAATGGGATTCGGACGGTGGGGGACCGGAGTCTCGAAGCGGCGTCGTGGTTCTTTCATCTTCCGAGTCCCGGTGGGTGCCCTGCGTCGCACGTACGTCAAATCCCTCGAGTCCAGCCGATTTTCCCTCGAAGAACAGGCTTTCTCTATCGAAGAGGAATCGAAGAGATTTTTCGGGCGTTTCGGTGAAAATGCATCCGATATGTCGCATGCTTATCTTCGCACGACCCGACGACTTCATGAGACACCTGTCTTATTTTTTTCCACCTCGCACCCTGTCTCGACCACCCTCTTCCAGGAACAGTTTTTTCCTTGCAGCCAACAGTGCATATCGATCGCTATCGGCACCGCACACTTTCGATGTGAACCTTCAACCTTTTGAACAGTTTGCGATCGTGCTCGATTCGTTCGCTTCCGTGATGAAACGGGCAACAAATAAAGCCTGCTGATGAAATTAAATACGAGGAACATCATCTAGTCGGCTCGATACCGACACCGAGTCTGATAAAGCAGCTGTATTTTGGGACAATATTTACATATTCACGTAATACATATTTGGAAGACAACTTGAATACTCGACATCATCAAAGAATTAAATGCAGGGATCGGTCGAGAATGATTCATTCCCGACGCACCAAAATCGATCTCCAACGGTTTTCATTACAGGGTATACCTACTCGAATAAAGTTGCTGGCCCATAAATTGCCTCATCGCAGCAAATTTGCAGTTTTGCAACATGAACATTTCTAAAAGTTCAAATTTGCAGCCGATTTGCAGTACCAACGATGACCGCAAAACAACGTCATCTCGCTCGTCTATGAGGCCGCAACTGAAGGAAATCGAGATGGCTCGACTGAATTTGAGTGAAGAACGAGGCGTTCCACGTGTCGGCAACTGTAAATTCGTGCGTCGATTTGAGCGACCGACCGTCCCGACTTAACGGGACCTTCGGTAGGAGCAAGCAGAGGAGGGTGTTGAAACGTTCCGGATCCCGAGTCCCCCGAGAGAGGGAGAGAGAGAGAGAGAGAGAGATAGAGAGAGAAGGTGAGGAAGAGAGGGAGAGAGAGAAGGTGAGGAAGAGAGGGAGAGAGAGAAGGAGAGAATGCTCCTTGATATCCCACTTCCACCTCGTACTCGAAGCCCATCCGTCTGGTCCCATGCGGGTGAACTCGGACCGAGAGACTCATTCTCGTGCGGCAGACGCGGAGGAACCGTCGGACTCGGCGCGTCTCGACCTCGTGGCTCTCACGGATATCCGCATCTTCGCATCCCATAAACACACATCCCCGTGCTCGACCGGTGCCACCGAAACGGCGGCCCACGAAGCCATATCGTAAAGTGAACTTTTCGTCATCGGCATCGGTGCGATTCCAGTGCGACCCCCATCGGGTCGGCCACTCGCGGATGCGAATCGCCGCTCAAAAATTTGAGCAATTTGAGCTAGGCTGAGAGTACTCGGTACTTACTCGGTACTGGTACTGACTGAACGAGAGAGGTAGGTTTCAAATCCTCCACGAAGCAAGTTTTTTCATGTTGTATTATGAATATGTAAATCCTGCTAGCATGACTGGGAAAAAAAAAAATCAAAATATGTAACCCTTAAATGGTGAAGCTTTTGTTATCGTGTCAAATGAGACCCAGAATGATATTTTTCGTCAAACACGGCTATTAAATTCCATTTCAAGCAAGAAACAGTTCTAGGATCGCGTGTTTCAGGAATAATGATAAACTTCGCAAGAAAAATTATTTAATATTTTCTATTAAAAAAAAGACCCTGGATGATTTTCGTCCCACCTTGCCTCTTTCAGGGTTAAATGACAGAAACCGTTCCGTCTCCACCACGCGAAGCGATTCGCCCACGGACATCGCTGTCTCCGCGCGCGACAGCCACGAGTTCCCACTTAGGCGGGGGTTCGCGATCGTCGCGAGACGGGCGAGAAATCGAAACGTCCGTCCTTTTGTCGTCGGAAATTCCAGAAGCTCGGAGATTTTATCCGGACGATGATCCACGCAAAGGAACCGGAAGCGGCTGCCGCTATCCCAACCTCATTGCGAATAATCGCGATGCGAAGACGTTTATCGACATGAAGTGGATGAAACTCGTCGACCCTGGAAATCGTGAAACGGCGGATTCCGACGAGGGAAAAGTGGGCTGGGAACGAGAATGCTTCCTCAGGGACTAATTCTCGGCTTCCGTCTTTTCTTCTTCTTTTTCCCTTTAGATTTTAGAAACGGGGGAGTGACTGAAAATAGATCCTATTTGTAGTGCCTCCCTCCCCTCGAATAAACGATTCGGAGTCCATTGGTGGTAGAGGAGCGTGGAATTTCTCATTTCGCATGGAATGGAATTTCATCTGCTGTTCATGAAACTACGAAGTTTCGTATTTCTTGCTCCGTCCGTCTCGGTCCTTCGTGGTTTTCTCCAACTCATTTCGTGTCGCCATCGTCAGTCCATCGAGGATGTAGGTCAGGTCATGACTCCGTGAAAAAGCATTCGGGTTGGGATCGATGAGAAATTCTTAAACCTGGAGGGGTTTTCTCGGGCTCAAAGATTTCCAAGAAACTCAGAAAATTTCTGGAGTCGCTGGCGTGGGGCGCTTTCGAGCGAGTCCTCGTCTCTTCCCCGCAGCATCCCTGAACTTCGTCTCTTCAAAGATGGGGAAGAAGTCGGAATTCTTGGATGCAACGACCGTCGGTAATTCTCACTCTTCGGATTCGCGACTCCGTGGATGGTTTAGAGCCGATCGGTGAGATTCAGCTTCTCCCCCCCCCCCCTGCTTCAACAACAGATGCTGAATGTAATGTAAAATTGGAGTTTCTAGCGATTTATTTGCAGTTAGGAAATCTTGAGCGTATTCTCATCCTTTCCAGGTATATTGAGTTGAGACAATTGCAAGGGGTCAAAGGACCAGCAAGTGTCATTCGGTTCAAGTTTACTCCTTTACTCTTTCCATTCACCTTTACTCTTATTCTTAACTTTGATAGTGAAGCCGTTTGAAAGGTTGCAAATGGGAATACGAGAGATATTGCCGAGCCGTGTATTAATATCGCCTGTTATTTTTTTCTTCTGAAAACCGGCTATGGATAAACCAGAGATAACGGATACCTTCCACAGCAGCTTTACCTTTCGTGAAAAGTGAGCTCGGGTGAAAACGATGAAGAAAAATACGACGACTTCGACACGAGAGGATTTTGGACGCGTTGGGACTGTTCGAGGGAAGGTTTAGGCAAGCAAGGTTTTTCCAACAGACACGCGAGAGCTGCAATTCCGAGTCGGAACTCGAAAGACGAAGTGAAAGCGGCGACGACCCGCACTGGGGGCAGGCTGCAGGCATCACATCCGGCAGCGCGGTCGGGAAATTCTCGGTACCAGAAGCCTTCACGGTGAAACGTCCGGCAATAGGCGTTAGACGCAGGTAGGGGGGTTTCGTAAATCAGTTGGCACATCGATGGTAAGCCCAGTGGCTCTTCTGTATGTGCGTGTGTGTAGACGGTGGGTCTTCGCTCAGTGATTCGTGGAAAAATTAATTACTTTCGTCTTTCGTCGTTTCAGAAATTCGTGCAAGTACGATTTGAGGAGGTTCAGCATCCCATCCCCCCCCCCCCCTCCTACCAGAACCGCCCTTGTGCGAAACTATTGTGGCAGAACAGAGGGGTGGGTGGTGATGGTTAGGACACTTATCACGTTCATCCAGTGGCGTATTTTACGAAGGGGCAGGGGGCGGCCGCTCCCCTGCTATCGCTCGGGTGGGGTTAGGAGACCCCACTATGCTGCCCTGTTCCCCCTGGTTCTTCAGCCAAAATACGCCACTGCGTGCATCGTTACAAAACCAAGCATTGGTGAGCTTTCCTTCAGAAATAGTTCTTCGCAACTTGGAAGAGCTGTATCGAGGATGACCTCGCATATGCTTTGTTTTATAACAATTTCTCTTACGGTGTTCGAACTTAGATGGTTTTACCCTATTCCACAGATTGCACCATCTCCTTCGACTCATCAGCTGAACTTAATTTGCACGGGAAATGTATTGGCCCAATTTATCTCAACATGAGTAGGAATCATTTCTACAAAGGAAGCACAAGCGTACTGGAAATCAGGTTACCCTTTAATATTTTTTTTTAGCAACGAATTAAAGGAGACCTATGATGGAGGGCCATGAGCCCCTTTCAAGTCAGGTCATATGTGCCAAAGGGTCTAAGGTCACGATATCCAGGCGGTCTCCATTCAGGGGGTTTACATCGACAGCACCGCACAGCTGCTAAATAGATATCATCTTCTTACCTGTAGTCTCATAAAGTAAAGCAGACAAGTCTGTAGGTTGGTCACATTAATGCTCCTCCTTCAGGGATCCCCCTTCCAGCCAAATAGGGTTCCAAATCCCAAAACCCTAAATTTTTGAGTCCCTTCCCACCTTAACCCAGGTATGCCCAGCGTTCTATATGTAGGAGGGCGTGCAGAGATCCACATTAAGAACTTTGAAATGTCTTGGCTGTTTCAATGGATGCAGCTTTATCAATTGCTAGCCAAGAACTGAAGAGCTACTTGGGTGTTGTGTGCCATTAGTGCCATCTATTCGACAATGAACTGTGGAGGAGAATTTTTCATACACACATCTCTGCATGCATACAATACATATAAAATGCCAGGCATATCTGGGTTAAAGAGGAATGCAAACACTGCATACTATTCCCAGACATGGGAATTTTCATGCTGGACTACCTGAACACCAGGATTTTAAAAATGTCAATACCATTGCACCTCCATTTTAAAAGGATGTTCGAAAAGAAGTGGATGAAGACAACTGCGCTCATTTCATTCTCAAGGCAATACGACAACATACACTACATGCAACTTGGCATACACAGTATCTTCTTTTGATAGTAGGAATCTTCTATTTCTTTAATGATAAATACATGTAGAATCAAGAGTTAACATAGACTGCATGTTGATGCAGAAGTATATTGCATGATTGCTTCCTCAGCCAGGGGAGCGACTAGGAACACGGATCCACGAGACAGGAACAAGACAAACACCAAATATCCTCCAGGGAATGCGATTCAGGAATGCTGTAATCTCTGTCCTCTTTCACATGTCTTCCAGGTTACGAAATGCCTGCTGCATCTGCTCATAAAGCTCATCAAACTCTGACTTGATCTTTGCCTCTCCATCCTTCACTGGATCCTGGAAATATTCAAACTTACAATTTGAGAATCAGTATATCAAACTAAAGTATTCTATATAACTAAAGCAAACCCCATCCCTCTTATATAGGACAACAATTATGGCAGCTGGGATATGAAGAGCTGAGACAAAATGGGTTTTCATGCACAATATATGATTAATATATGGTTGGAATAGCTTTCTTGAGAAGTTGGTAAGCTTAGAATAGTACAGTATAAGTTCAATGATTGGTAACTGGACCATGGTATGATTGCATGACATTTAAATTTACAACTGAACTAAGACTAAACAAAAATCAGTATTGTTTGATGTAACATGCTGTAATTATCTGGCCAATCAACTGCACCACTAAGACTGAAATTTACAAGAGATAATCATGTATGGAAGCTCACTTGTCTAGAACTATCAACTGGAACACTGAGTCCACTGTGTTGTCTAGTAATTTTTACTGAAGGATTCATAAATGAGACAGAATAAAAAGCAAAATCACATCCATCCTAACTCCTCAACATCAATGAGCAAAATAGTAAGAATCTGTGTGCATGTTTGAAGCCAACTTTGCCACTCTGAAGGCAACAAGACAATGCAAAATGCCTCACTTTTAATGTAATAATAGTAAGGTCAGAGTAAAAACAGCTTCTCAGGGAGGCATAGCACCACATGTTTCATTGCCTTTTGTCTTCACAGAAGATTCCTTCATCTTGTTGCTAACAGGTCTGTGACCTCACAATTTTACCTCTTTTTAATACTGAAGGGTTGTCTAGTTTGGAAGCCAAATAGAACAAAATTATACAATCCAGCATCATCAGTGCCTGTGATACTTGATTCAAAATGTTCACTTGGTACAAATGCCCAATCTTCACAGCTGTCACACTTAGTTCAGAGGAAGGAGAGAAAATTATGTTTCCTTATACTTAATACTGCTACACAGATGGAAGTTATAAGAACTGATATATCACATAGGCTAACCTTAAACTTCATGGCAGAGAGCTGGTAGAGGATGTTATTCATGCTCTCACGGATAACACCCCAAGTGATTTTTGTCTCACTCTGGGCTGTGCTCTCCACTGCATGACGTGCCAAATCATAGAATGCAATCATGTTCTTCAGCATCCCCACAGTCTTGTAGAAGGGGCAGAAGCGGTCATATGATGAGTACCTGTTAAAACCAGCAAAGTCTTACATTCCTTACCTGCATTGCGTCAGAAAGGGAATTCACTTTAGTGATGATACTGAAATAACAGTAATAGTATCACCTATAACTTTGCATCTCAATTCATGTCACATTTTTATTCAAAATTTTAATGGGTTATTCTTTCATAGAACATTCTGCAACTGTACTTTTTTCATAGCCTTCATTTCATAAATAAATTTTTTTCCACTTTAAGATGAGTCAGTGAATGTTTCTGAGTGACTGGAAAAGGAAAAGAAGACCAAGACGAATGCAAAAATGTCTGTACAAAAAAGTCTGTCAATAAAACTGAGGAATAAAGCAAAAAATATACAAAATTTAACAAAATAGACAAGAAGAGAAAAACCTAAAAACCTTCGCTAAAATGGGATATATTGGGTGCAAGTTGTTTTCATCAGCTTTAAGTCTACAGATATGCCTCACAAACTCATGTGCAATCCATAAATATGCTACAAACAATACCCCAATTTTCAAGCTACCAAAAAATATTTGGACAGTAATTTGAATCAACAAGAGACAATGTGTGTCCACTCATTAGACAGTGATAAAGTAATTGAAAGGAATGCCAAAAAAAAATTTCCAGTTCTGTGCACTTGAGCTGTGCTCTTCAAAGCTAAAACTATCAGGAACAGATGAGAAGCAGAACATCTTATTCACCCATTCTGCTGAAGGAAGTCATCCTTGAGAAGCTTGGCAACTTCAAGGGTGATCTTGTCAGCCTCAGCTAGTGAGCCCTTCCCAACCAGCTGGACTATCTCACTCAGATCCTCTTCCTCTTGTAGGATCTCCTTCACCTTTGTCCTCAGGGGTACAAACTCAGGGAAGTTCTTGTCATAGAATTCATCCAGGGCTCTCATGTACTTGCTGGAATAAAGCAAGACATCTTACTTCAAACAATCCCTCACTTCTATAAGTTCCTGGATGAGAACTAAATGAAAAAGAAAATTATATAGCTGCATGTAACGATACACTAGATGGATAAGCTCCCATAAAAAAAATTTGTAGTTAAAAAGAGTATGCCTACCTTACTTTGTAGTATAAGCTCATGACTTGGTGCCTTTGCTGCTAGAATTTTCCATTGCTGAAGGCAAGATAGACCTAGGTCTTATTTAGAGAGGCCTATAAAACATAGACATTCGCTTCAACTTTCAGAATAACCACACATGATTTCATGAAAATTGGTCATTATCTGTTACAGATTATATTTAGGAAAGTAATAAATTCATAGAATATCTGTCACTGAAGCTTTGTCACAGACCTGTAAGAGATAAGCCAATTGATGGAGGGGAAATGTTTGCGCTGGGCAAGCTTCTTGTCAAGACCCCAGAAGACCTGTACAATGCCTAGTGTGGCAGATGTGACAGGATCAGAAAAGTCTCCCCCAGGAGGACTCACAGCCCCCACAATACTCACACTCCCTTCTCGCTCAGGATTCCCCAGGCATTTTACCCTACCTGGAGAGAATGTTACACAGTAAAATTAACCACACTATGGGCAAGAGAATTCCATCTTACATTGTTAGTGAGACAATTTTTTAATGTTATTAATGGGCACCAGAGACTTCTCCTCATATTAATTGGGATATCAGCAACAATCATGATCAAAACAAATTGACACAGTATGTATATGGGAGGAATGAAGAATAGAGAGAACTCATAAATAGTTAAGCATTTGCTTGAATGCCTATATCTTTAAATCATTCCCTTACAAGAGGTCAACTTCAATAGGAATATCTCAATAATTAAATTTAAGAACTACAGCATTCATTATTTTCCTTGGATATATTACTCCATGTAAAAAAAAAAAAGGTTGGTGAAGTCAGAGGTTAATTGAGAGTGGAATTTAATGTACTGGAGCATATCCTACTTTCATAAGCAATAGGAGCCAAAGACACAGAGACAGACCTGCCCGTTCATAGAAGGAGGCAAGCCGAGCTCCCAGATAGGCAGGATACCCGGAATCGGCAGGCATCTCGGCAAGACGCCCAGAGATCTCTCGCAAGGCCTCGGCCCATCGGGAAGTAGAATCAGCCATCATGGACACGTTGTAGCCCATGTCTCGGAAATATTCGGACAATGTGATCCCTGTGTAGATGGAGGCTTCTCGAGCAGCAACAGGCATGTTGGATGTGTTAGCAACCAGAGATGTTCGCTTCATTATGCTCTCCACTTGCCCATCAATCTCAACTGAGAGCTCAGGGAAATCCCGCAATACTTCAGACATCTCATTCCCTCGCTCTCCACATCCCACATAGATGATCACATCTGAATTCGAGTACTTGGATAGGGATTGAGAGATCACCGTCTTCCCACAACCAAATGCCCCTGGAATGGCTGTCGTCCCCCCTTGCACACACCTTAATGCAAGAGAAAAAATTGGAAAGGAGACAATTACAACTGCAATAATGCCTTCTGAGAACTAAGTGCATTCTGCCCTCATTTTCATTTCTGAAAACCGAGTTGATCTAATCACTAGTGATTGGCTGGCCAGTGAATATAAATATTACTTTGCATTTAGTCTAATTGCCTGACTAATTCTAGTACTATAGTAATGTCAGAAATGGTCAAACCCCAGAAATAATTGCACATTTGCCAAAAAAAACTGACTTTTAAGGCTCTTGAATTAGTCTTGAGTAGCAGTTTTCAAACTGTAGGAAACTGCTACATTTATGCCATTTAAAGCAGCAAATAATGTAGATGAAAGAACATGGATCAAGTGCAATACCAAAAAAAAAGAAGCAAGTATTCAAAAGCAACCCCACCCCCCTCCTCTGTTCCTATGGCTTGCCCTAGCACAGCCACTTCTCCCTTGTCTTAGTGTCTTAGTCACATGGTAGGAGTACAATGAAATGGCCAGTTATTTAGCAATTTTAGTGCAACTAATGAGTTCCATGTCAGTTCAATGATTGCAGTAGAGATGCCCCACACATCAATGAAGTCTGTCATGAACTTTTCTTATTTTGTAGTTTGGCAGTTGGGCAAATGAGGTCCCATGTGATAGCCAAGTGACCTATGTTCATATTGTTCAGTAATTACTTGCTGCAAGCAATAGAAAGTCACAATCAGTGCAAGCCTTAATACACTTAATAGGTTAAGGGGTACAGAACAAAAAGTTTGAAAGCACTAGCCAAAAGTAGAGTCAACTCTCATTTATCCAGACTTTGGGGGACCAGTCTTGAATTATCAAAAGCCTGACCAAGTGACAGTCATTAAAAGTTGTCATGAGCATTCCTAGCACACTGCAAAATGCTATCATGTATTTATGTTTTGTTTCCTCTGAAAATAGGAATCACTGACTTAGTTTTTTTCAGCCATTCTTATGAAAGAAAATATATTTTCCTGCTTCATGCAATAAACATCTTGAGTGAGATCACACCAAAAAGGCTTCATGATGAAAAGGAGGTAAGAAACTTGTTGGGGCTCTCATGACAAGCATAAATGTGAATGGTTGGAAAAGAGGGAGATGACCAAAGTGAATGAGGAAAATCTCATTATTGTGAGCAATCCTAATACAGTAGTCTGATTCCAGGTAAGGGGGAGGATCAAAGGAGTTGACATTTTTTGCATCTTTTTAATTCCTGAGGTGAGAAGAGACATGGGAAAGGGACAGAAAAACATTTATCTTATTCCATCTCCCTGCTAGCAAGTCCAGATTAAAATGGTGAACAATCCAGGGGATTAGAGAACTCAAACCCAAATTTTTGTAGCTAATAACAGCATTTGGATTAAACAGAAAATTTCAATGGAGATTCTGAGATTTCTTACAAGACCATTCCTATTGTCTGAATTAATGGGAGTGCTGGATTATTGACATTCAGATAAATGAGAATCAAATCTACTCAATTCTTTGATTCTTCGATCTAAAAATTTGGAGAGAAAATGCCATTACGGGAAGAGGGCATCAAGAACTCGCTGGCCCGTGAGGAGAGGGTGATTAGAAGGAAGCTTCTCAGCCACGGGCCTTGGCTGCCGAACAGGCCAGATCTGAAGCATCTGATACTCATACTTCTCCCCATCAAAGTCTGTCGCCAGCACCACATCCTGGTCAGGGAGAAAACTGGCAATGCGGAAAATATCTGTATAATCCTGCACCAAATCAATATGATGAATAAATCCAACTATCACAAACAGTGATATTATAGGAGCCAGGTTCAGCAATATAGGTGACAGTGCCCTTGGCCTTAGGTGGAAGGAGGAGCTTGTGCTTTACAAGGGTGTTCTCATGCACGATTCCATACAAGTCTCCACCGGTTATGTGACTCCCAACCTGGAAATGGATTTATTTGAAGGAAGCACATTTACTCAGATATCCAACTTTCTGTTTTCTCTTCATGCAGAGAACATATCCTATTATACATACCATTATGAAACTTGGTTAGGAATGGAGGGAGAAAGATCATCCAGGGGGAAAACACAACTTAGTTCTAATCAGGAGAGGGGGCAATATAATGCAAGGGGATACAAAAACTATACAAAATTCATGTAGATAATGAAGCAAGAAGACTTCTGAACACTTTTGTTGCTGAATCAATTTTGCTGTATTATTCTGGCATATGATGTCAGTCAAAAGAGACTGAAATGGCAGTGAATGTGTCAAACAACATAAACAATTTAAAAGCAGCACTTGCATTGTGAACATTCATGAAAAATGCAAGTGCTGAAGGCCAATGAGGGATTGAGGGCAGGGAAGTGAACTTCAAACCTTGATGTTCAAAGGTCGGAAATCCCATTGGGCCTCACGGGAGAGAGCAGGGATATTGACACCCTTTGGAATGTAGATGCTCTGGGTAAGTTCATTGATATCTTTCAGAGGTCGTTGGATGCCATCAAAAATACTGCCCATGATCCCAGGACCCAATTCCACAGACAATGGCATCCCTGTTCGCAGCACTGGGTCACCAACAGTCACACCTGATGTATCCTCATATACCTGCAAGAACAGAAATGCACTAATTGGCCTCTTGCTCATTAGACCTAAATAAAACCCCAGGGAGAGAATGGCCTGAATGCATTAACTTCATTTAGGGGAGATAAAGGGGCCTTTAAGCCAAAGAGCTCTTTTTCCCCCATAGAAGTCTATGTTTTCCTTATGGTCTTTAGTTTAGTAAAAAAAAGTATCTTTAGTTAATGGTCCATTAGGACCATTAACTAAAGGAGGTTTCAGCATTCAGGTCTACAGCTTTGGATTATGCACTAGTAAAGACTGTGACTGGGTTATATGATGAGGGTGGAGAAGGATCTATGGAGTTTTTTTCCTCACCCACATCATATTGCTTAGGCCTATTGATGTCTATTATAAGATTCTGACCAATGAAAACTTATCCATAGGTCTAAAACTCTTTTTAAGTCCACCTTTAAGGAACTCAGTTCTCATCTAAAAACTGAGGCAATGGCAGATTAACAGCAAAAAAACCTCAAACAAAATGAAAGTGTGATACCTGGATGGTGGCCATGTTGCCCTCCAAGCGGATGATCTCGCCCACCAATTCCCCATAGCCAACCCGGACCAACTCATACATGGCTGAACCAGACATCCGCTCTGCTGTCACCACTATAAAGAGGAAAAAACAATTGAAGGCAAAAATGGCAGAGAACTGAAAAAGAAAATTGATGAGGAGCAATACCAGGTCCAGAGACAGCATAGACAAGTCCAAATTTAGACTCCCGTTCCTCATCCTGAATCCTCTTCAATTTGGTGTCTCCAATTTGAGCCTGTAGGAACAAATCCAGTGTCATTGCCTGATTCAATTCCACTGCTGATATTGGTTTGGTTTCACACAATAAAATGGGACACAGAAACTGCATGCTAATTATTTCAGCTGGTCATGTGTGTCTGTTTTTCTTTGCAATGCAGACAGAACACAGCACCTACATTACTCCCCTATATTGCTACAGGAATTACAGCACTCACTGTTCAGATTAGAAAAGAAGTACCATACCAGATGACTTCATAGATTCCAGTGAGAATAGGAGAGAACCTGAGACCAGAGAACAAGGGTCACAAAGTTTTGGAACTTGTTTTGGCCAGGTCCCCTTTCCCCACCCCATCATGCATTTTCCCGGATTCATACTTTCATTGTTTCAACAGAAGAAAAACCTGAATCTGAATGAGACTGCATGGACTGGGCTCTGGAGACAATATTCTTCCATTAGTAAATCTTGTACTCCTGATAAGACAAAGTTGAATCCAAAAAAGTATATGAGCAGATAAAAGTTACCATATGAAAAATATTTCTAAAAAGGAACCAAATCCATGGGCCAAAATAACCCTTTCTTCATTTCTATTTCATGCATGGATGTCCCCATGAATGCCTACTTTTGGCAGACACATCTGGAGCTTTCTCTCTTCTACTTACTACAGTATATTGTGGCTTTTTTTTTTAATAGTCCTAGAATATTTAAATATTTAATAATTTAATATTCTACATTCTTAGACTGCTGGTGGTATTCACATATTAACAATGAATATTTATGAGTTATGGTATCCACAGGGTACTCAACCAGGCAACTTAAAAACAAGACTGCACAATGAAAGAGGAAGTCAAAGTAGACCCAATTTTTACTCCTAAGGGCCAGATAAACCTCTCTGTGAGTTGTTTTTGAGCAGTAATAGTCAAGCTACTTCTTTCAACAGGTATACCTGTATATGTGGGATATATCATTTAAAGCATTTATGAAGCCAATTCAATGAAAAGGTCAGTCTATACTATGACCATCACAATGCATGATGTATTGATGTCAATATGGACGGTTGGAGGCAGGAATGATTTTATCAGCAATCACAATTGCCCTGGTCCTTCCTTCTATTCTCCCCCCCCCCCCCCTACTGCTCCTTATAATAAAGACTATTCCTGAAAAAAATTTTTATTTGAAACTAAATGTTCATGATAATACTTTTAAAAAGATTTTAGCTATGTTTCCTTTGAAGAACGTTCTTGATAATTTAACATGTAAAAGCAATGAAACTATACTTTATTTCTGAATGTTTGTCCGTCCTTTATGCACGGCCACACCTCTGATCCCAGTCCGATCAAACTTTGCATGGCTTCCTCATTTGATTCGGGGATGGTCATTGGCTAGGTGGCGTTTCAAAATTCGAACCCCCCAGGGCAAGGCCGACCCAAGACCAAATGGCACCCCAAGCGAGGAGCGTCTTCCCTCGCCCCAGGCGGTCGCCGAGGTCGCCTGCCCCGCCCTGGGGTACCGTATTTAATGCAGACAAATATGGGACCTACACAATATTCGCACGTACAACGCCGGGTACCTCTGCTAGTAATATATATGTTTGACAAAATAGGCATGTATTTTCTGAGGTAAAATTTTTAAGCCCAAAAGGAGTTAAAGGTCCCAAAATATTTCTTCTTAATGCATCAGACTTACCATGTAAATCTGTCTACCATTTTCCGAATATATATTTACTCTGAATTTTTTAAGATTATGAGGGGTACCAGGCCCCCTTAAATGTGTTTGTGCATACTTTTAGGTTGAAGGACAGCGCTGGAGAGCAGAGATGTTGAAATCCTTGTAGGGGTGATTGATCGATAAACATTCCCTCATCGGAAGGATACGCATTCCGACAGGCCATTCCCATGTTCTCCACGCCTGTCCTATCTGAAACTTGTCAACCTAAGTCTCCTATGCCGGAGGATTTATTTTTTTATTAATACGTTTTTTTGATCACGCTGTCACCCTCATCAATTGAATTGGCATGTACCGTCTTTCGGAAGAGACTTTGACGCGACGCCTGCTCGACAAAGAACGTCATTGCGGAACTCGCAAGAACATTGATTTCTAGTGAACCCCGCACGCTCAAGAGGTGACCCTCGCACGCCCAAATGACGTTTCCCCACAATTACCTTGAATTTGAGAGGCAGAGACCTGCAGACGCCTTCCCAGTGGGTAATTTGGAAGGACATTTCGAAAGTGCAAGTTCGCGTTTCCTAAGACTTGTTGAACCCACAAAACCAAATAGAATATTTATCCCATGCCTAAAATATAAATCGGGCGTAAAAGGCATCTTAAGAAGCCCAATCGGATGAATGAGAGCAATCAACTGGAGAGAAGGGAGCAGAAAAAAAAGTCGGTAAGTAAAGGACCTGCACGATAGCCATGCTCGCCACTTGGGTTGAGCGAAAGATGAGGAAGTGTAGAATCGAAAGGCACGACAGCGTCCAAGCGAATAATCGCAGTGCAATACGACCTCTCCCCAAACATCTCACCCCTAAACCCAGACATGCCTGGCGTCCTATGTGTAGGACGGCGTGCAGAGATACGCCTCCACATAGAACCGCCAGGCATATCTGGGATAAACTCATGTTCATGTTTCACCTCTGACAGCAGGAAATTTGGAGGGATTCAACTGGTTCACTAATCGACGAACATGAAAACCTTGGGGTTTTTTCCTCCCATCGAGTCCGAAACCCCCGGAAGCATTTCCATGAAGACTGATCGCAACCCCTTCCCCATCAGCCACGTCCCGTCCCAGCACAGCTCGTGTCAACGAAACCGCAGAGACCTTAACAAAATTTAGAACTTTTATGAATGGCCAGAGTAGGGATTCCCTAACTTCATGGGGTCTCCCGCCACGCTCACATTTTCTAGTCTGCGAGATAGCGTTGAGAATGGCATTTCGGTCTCGCAAGAGCAGTAGTTCAGTGAAGAGATGAGCACTCAATGGCTACAATCCCTGCAATGAACTCCCGCTTCCACGGGACTGCTGGGTCCCTCTCTACCTTCAATGCTAAAAGAAATTAAGTCAGTTACACGGCAGTCTTTTATTGTTGCAATTTTCCCTTAGTTTCAGAAACTTTTTTTTTTATCCAGCAAAGGAGGCTTTTCCACCTGCTGATAATCCCGGGAGGGGGATTCCTTTCATCATCGCCGAAGTCCCGCTAAATAGTTGCAGTCCTTGTTGGAAATTTACTAGCAACTTGATTTATTGTGATTCTAGCCCACTTACCATAGCGTATTGCGGTAGGGAATAGCAGAGTTCAGAAGAAAAGAAGCGAAGAGATCACTGGTGAAGAAAGGAACCGGTTTGATGTAAAAATGACCAGATCTTGAAGACAATCTTGATTCCTTCAGTCTAGCAGTCCATTCACTCACAATCACAGGATCACGAAAGTCACCTCAGGTGCAAATATTTGGTATATCATTTGAGCGCATTATCAACTTGTACCTAGAGAAAAGGAGAAAAAGCAACCAACAAGGTGACAACTTAGGGAGCCAAATAGAATTAAGTGCCTCACTGTGCTCAAGAATGCAGCTTATGAAAAAAGGAGTAATACCATATAGTTCATGAATAGACTTTAGAGATAAAGGGAAGTGTCATGCACAATGAAGGAGTACCCAGTTCAACTTTCTAAGGAATTGTGATGCAGCTGAGGTATCCTGAAAGATGAAGGTACGAATGAGAGTCTGTGGCTAACAACTGGCAGTGGATATCATGCATCTTCCCAAAACCTGTTGATCCAGTTTTCAAACCAGGATGAAGAGGAATGAGATGCATAGAGATACAGGGAGAATGAGACAAAAACACAATTACCACCACACTTTTCATTAAAATATTCAACCTTCAAGGAATATGTATGTAAATACATTTTCAAAATTTTTACTAAATTTCAACTTCCAAGTTTTGTGTAAATTACCCTTTTTTGAGTTTGCTGCATTTTTTGCCTTTCATGTGCTACAATCTACAACATTATGCATAAGAAGCATCCAAGATATATATAGTTGAGGGATGTCAATTTCTTTTCAAAACATCCATGGAGTGCAAGGAAAACACACTTCAAAGGGCTAATTTGCAGTGATCTGAAAAACCAAATGGGGCAAAGAAGTACATTCATAAACCCTAAAACTCAATGGTTACCCTCTTCGCTCCAAAATTTATGATGTGACTTCTTGAAATTAACCTGTTAGCAACCAAATGCCATTAAGGCAACTACCACTCAAAATTAGTATTGCCTGAAATTGACAGATTTGGAAGTGGCAAGTTTACATGTACCAAATTTTCATTAACTTTAAGAGTATATTATGTTTCTAATGCTGAATTAAGAGCTAAAATGAAAAAAAAGAAGAAACATGGAATTGACTAGAAAACATTACATTTTAAAACCAATACAAATTTAGATTATATCCTCTATATTGCCATCATTATAAGCTGTTTTGTCAATTAATGCTTCATATAGCCAATAAAATGTGCTAAAGCTGAAAATGTTGTCCAATCATACAGGAAATGGGAGACACTTATGAATGAAGTTTTGAAAATTTGCCAATATTGCAAGCAATGACCTGAAACCTGCCATGTGTTAGCTAAAAGAATTGAAAAATATATATAATAGACTTACATCACTGGAAATTACGTCATTCCTTGTTCACAAACATGCATTTTTTATATCTTCAAGTACTGAAAAATACAAGTAGGCCATCTGAATTAGCCCCATAAGGAATCTCATTGCATCTAAATTTTAAAGTAGTAGGTTTTAAGTCCAAGGTTTACACTAGGCTAGCAATGTGAAAATGGATTATCTAATTAATCCTTTAGGAAGCTCTACACTATTCTAAGTTATAGCCTAATCTAGCTGAACATAGATGCCACCCTTCCCCATCCCCTGTCAAGCTTACAGACAAGAAGCAAATATAATTCAGTATTCATTCCTACCATATCTTCTTTCATAAATCAACTTCCCATGTCTGTAATTGGTGTCCTTGGAAGTCTGGACAAAAATCAAAAGGGCAGCCAGGAACTGGCTAGGAATTCAGTTAAAAAGTTGAATGAAATGTGAAAGTCGTTTGAGATGTGTACACTGAGAAATCAAGAGCCATCATTGGCTCTTCATTGAATCAATAGGTGCTTTTCAAAAAGTTTCAGACAACATAGCTCATGGAAAGCTTAACCTGAAACATTCACTGCTGACATGAGTCTTAGGCAGTAGGACAACCAGTTCTCACTCTCACAGGTGGCACAAGTGGTTGGAATATGAAGAAAGCATTAGCTATGGTGTCCTATCATTAAACATAAATTGATCCAGGGTTGGCCTGAATATAGTCACCTTATTAATGAAAGAGAAGGTGACTCAATCATGTGCATATCACCGACATGCAGCCATGTATCCATGATCAAAAATGATCAAAAATGGTTTCTAGGATGTTAGACAATTGTAATGGAGTATTGATCAGTCCAAGGCTTACTTAAAGGAAATAGTTCTTTGATTTGCTTTAAACAAAGTGAAGGTAAAATTAAAGTTTAACCCAATCCAAATTTAGAAGTAATATCCATGCACATATGGTGGGTCTACTCATTCAAAATGGCAAGGTTGAGGCCCTCGGCCCATTCAATTAGGCGCAATTGCCTAGCACCACTTCACACCTTTCAGTCTGATGCACGCTCTTAAGCTTGAGGAACGACTCTGAGCCATGTCATTGGTCATGTCCTCGTACGTCTGAAACGCATGCTGTTGCTACTATATAGGGGTCAACTACTAACCCTTTAAAACATGAAGCGGTTCCTGCAGCTACAGACGATGACCCCCGTAGCGCCATGTTCCACGGTTGCAATGCTCGTCCTGCGCTGAACCCATCTTGCTGTTAAGGTTTTTCAGTCTCACACCAGTACGAAGAATAATAAACTTGTAGGAAATAATCCTTCTTCTCTCTCTACACAGCAAGCACAGAGTGAAAGTAGAGCTAGTTTGTTAGCATGGAGGGCTCATACTGTCTAATGAAAAAAAATTACTTGCGGGTGCTCTCTGAAAGAGCAGAGGAAGGATGATGACAAATACAACTGGGTGTCCCTATCAATCAGTGGCGTGCCCAAGGGAAGAGGGGGGGGGGGGATTATGGGGTCATGATTCCCCCCTTGGGATACCTTTTACAGGTTCGATTCTCAAGCATTTTTAAATTTGGATTTAAATTCAGGGTGGGTTACCAGTTTTTCATGTGTCCACCCGCCAAGGATTTTCTGGGCACGCTACAGCTATCGATCAAGCGAAAATCATGGCATAAACTCCACGCCCATTCTACCTAGCATTCCTAGGGGCAGCAATTAGTCAATAAACATGCAAACATTATATTAGCGTTACATAAGCATTAATTCTGCGCAGGGCCGTTTCTAGGCGTGTTGGCGCTCAGGGCAAGAAGTTCCAACGGCGCCCCCCCTCCCTCCTACTTTACCCCTTCCCTTCGAATCGGAGACAGGCAAGTAACAAGCTCGTTCCTGTCGTTGTCCGGAAGCTATCTTTGGATCAGCTTTCGGGCATGAGATTTTCCCCGGTGGGCCCCCCCCCCCCCCCCCCATCCCCCTTTAACCCGCTTGCGCCCCGGGCGATCGCCCGCTCCGCCCGCCCCTAGAAACGGCCCTGATTCTGCGCCTTCATGATGCTGGCATAGCGATACAGTCAAGCATCGAGCCAATATTGTTGAATTATGTTTCTTTTTGAAATAGTTGAAGGATCGTTATTTCTCAATCTGGGTGGAAGTTGTTCCATAAGTGCTACCACTTTGGTTCAGGGGGTCTTCTAGAGCTGTGGTTCTCGAACTCCCTTATCCTCCCATGGAAGATCCGTGTGTTCGGTGGTCCGCGGACCACAGATTGAGAACCACTGTTGAATCTAGAGCTTCTATTTCCTTCCCAGGTAAAAGACTTATTTCACCCATGCTAGAAGTTTGCATCCGAAAGTACTCACCCAGCACGGTGACATCACAGGGATGTCCCCAACTGGGCGACTTGTCCCTAGGTCTTTATGGGACGTCCTAAGGCCAACTTCAGTCTGATGGTTCTCCGGCATCGCGAAAGGGGTGTCTTCGGGACATCTTAGAGACGTCTTTTAGACATCATCAGTCGAATTCTTATCGATATCCCAAAAGGGATATCTTTCAGACATTCTTATTCTCTTCAAGGAAAATGATTCTTACCTTTGTGTTACAAAAAAAAAAAGCGCTGGCCGAAGGAAACATTGCGAGAAGACCTTTTGGGGAGAAACTAAGGCTTGAATGCACAAACCTCATTTAGGGGAGATAAAGGGGTCTTTAACCCTTTAATTGCCAGGCCTCGAGAAACACAACAACAAAAGAAAATCTGACTATAATTACCAAAATGCTGGAACTAGAAACAGGAACTAGAAATTGCATTGTAGTGCCATCTTTTGACTTAAATCTGAGCTACATGCAATGGAAAATCAGTTTCGGAGGACCGGCTAACATTGGCTCGATCAGCTTACAGGCAGTGTAAGGGTTAGGCTAAAGAGCTCTTTTTCTCCCATAGAAGTCCATGTATTCCTAAAGGACCGTTAGCAATGGAGGTTTCAACTGAATTTCGTGCCAAAGAATCTTCGTGCGCTTAACAGTGCCGGCTCGTGATATTAAGCTAAATATCACGAGCTGCCACTGGTGCTTAATGTTGCTACCATCAGGCTACCAACGGCGTTACACAACAAGAATTAACTTGACGGCACAATGAAAAATATCTACAACCCTAAGAGTTTACCACATTGGTGGGTGCCAGCGTTGAAAACGGATGCTTGACTTCAATTGACCATTTTCTTTGATCGTCGAGCGCCGAAGACGCGACCATTGCGAATTTGTTGACTCGAAGGGCACTTACAAACTCGTTTGTAGCTTGCATGGTTCATGAGAATTTCGTAGTTTTTGGAGCAGGGTAGTGGCGTGGGCAAGGGGCTCGAGGCTAGGGTTACCATACGTCCGGTTTTTCCCGGACATGTCCTCTTTTTTCGCCTTCACATTACCGTCCGGGCGGATTTTTGGGAAGTATTGAATTTGTCCGGGATTTATCCTCCAGTCACCAATATTCATAATTTTTTCGGTCTGGCAACATAGTCATGACGACACGTCCGTGACGTATCCTATTTCCCATTCCCTCCATTTGGAGTCTCTCTTCGAGACTTCATGGTCATCGTCTTTTCTTGGCATCGTCTCTTCGTGGTGAGAGCAGGTGTCACATCTCAAATTTGCACAGCTTCATCCATGTTTTCACCAGTCATTTCGCGTTCTTTGCGAACGAAGTCAGATGCTTCACGTAATGGCGCTACGCAGAAACCAGAGCGCAGCCTAGAGGCGCTTGGTTCATGCCATTCGCCAATGCCGCGCCCTCTGCCCCTTGAGAAACGCCGTAATGGCATCAATTCGTCGATAACGCTTAGGTACATCATCGGCGCTCCCCGATAACCAGCCTATGACGTGCATGTGCGTCATCGGCAGCGAAAGTGTTGTTGCACTGTGAAGCTCTGTGAAAAATTTTTTCGAATAAATTCATGCACAAGGTTAGAACATGGTGGTCAAGAAATACCTAACACAAATAAAAGCTGCGTGACTTGCATTTTTTAAAACAGTAATTGAAATAATTTCTACCTCAGTAAACTCCATACTAAAGAAGTTTAAGGAGAGAATATTCACATATGGTTTATATATTGTTTAACTATCAAAAGTAATTGTCTACCAATTCCTGGTATGTACTGGCACGCACGCATCACTGTGTTGCGCATCACTTCGTGAATCATGTCCATGGGAATATTGATTTTTTCCAGTTCGATGTTTCGGCTTAATTATTTACAGGACCCTGGTCTGTTGTCGTAAACGCATGACTTTGAAATGCCCCATATAGAAAAATTGGGGGCTTTAAAAGTCAAGGCTTCTGACCGGCATAAAAAAATCTCTATTGAAATGAGACAGTTCAGAATTAACTGACTTTTTTTTATCCACTCCATTGACGCGGAGATGCTAATGTCCCATCCCGTTGGAATAAATTTTTAAATTTTTTAGTTAAATCCCACCTCCTAATGCTTAGGGAAGCGGGCAGAAGAGCCTCAGTTATGTTTGAGCGATACACCAGGTGACGAATGAACTTCTCATCCCAAAATTTAACAAGATTTCAACTCTCAGCTCGCGCACCGAAAATGGGTGAAATACTTCAACAGTTCCAAAAATGTTGACTCTCACTTAGAGTTTTTAAAGATAGTTGAATTTTTCTTTGCTATTCCTTCTCACGATGCAAATGTGGGCACAGGAAATTAACAACTTGGCTGTTGAATCTGCGAAAGGGATTCTTCTCGTGCAGTATAACTTCAAGCACATGTCTGGTAAAAAGATATTCACGATTACTAACTGAATCATATTCGGGAAATGCATTCAACAGAAAAGCATGGGTGCCGAAAAATTAGTAGTGTGATATATATACAGTGTTGGGCGGTAACGAAGTAAAAGTAACGCGTTACAGTAACTAATTACTTTTTTTTAGTAACTTTTGAGGTAACGTGTTACTTTTCAGGGGAGGGTAACGGAACCGGTAACTAGTTCCTTTTTCATGGGAAAAGTATGTGGCGTTACTTTAACGCGTTCCTTTTCTGGATGATTTACTAAATTAGCTGAAAACAACCAGCGCTTCATGGCCACGTGCATCCTAATTGATGCAATATTGGGAGGAAAGACGGGGACATGAAATTGCCTTGAGAAAACATGGTTTATTCAGTGCAGGTTTCTTGGCTGTACCTGCAAACTTATTTCGATGTGCAGGTCAGAAACGAATACAGAGTTCCATCGATGCAGTGGNCTGCCTCTCCATATTTCAAGTGCCTCGTTATAGCTCTCTCCCAACAATCCATCATTAGTTAGACTCCGTTTATACTCAGGCCTAGCACTTGCTCTTCGAAGTGGAGAGCCTAACCCAATAAAGAGTGATTTGCAAGTGAATATGTACTACTTTTAACACGAACACCTCAGTCCCAATTCCCCATATTTCATGGTTGAAACACCCTCATCTCCTTGATTGCGCCATGAAAAATACCATTACATTGTAAAAAGTCAGTGAAAATTCTTTTTCCATCATTGTATGAGCTGGATTCATGCAGTCCATGTCTGGTTAAGGGAAAACAAGAGAACGTGACTTTGGTTTGTTCTATTTTTCTATCTGGAACTCATGATAAGGGGCAGGCTGGGGTAGGTCTCCCCATCACCAATGGCAAAATTGGCTTTTTTTAAACTAAAGGGTGCATTTTGTCTATCGGCGTATAATTCCTGTTAAGTAGCCCATAGAAAGGGAAGAGGCACAGGAAAAGAGTGAGCATGAGTATTTATCCCGTTAAGTGATGATTATAATTCAATTTTCGCGAAATCAGGGGTAATTTTCACTTTCAGTCCATGCATCCAGCTTCTGTCGAAGAAGTGGAAAAGCTGTAGAAAGATCGGAATTTTTGTTCAGGAAAAGTAACTTAAAAAGTAACTTCTACTTGTAACTAGTTACTTTTGGTGAGAAGTAATTCTACTGGTAACTAATTACTTTTTGGATGACATACTTGTAATTGTAACTAGTTACTTTTCAAAAGTAACGCGCCCAACACGGAACAGGGAACCTTGATTAGCCTATAAAAATAAAGATTGTGATTAATAAAGGCGTCTTCCTTTTGGCTCTCCGAAATATGGTAACCCTACTCGAGGCTCTCTCATTTTCATCCCTTCACCCAGCAAACCCCCCCTCCTTCACTCTCCCCATTGCAAGGGCATCATGGCATCACATGGAGGTTAAAACTGCGTGACTCCTGGCGTTGGAAATCGAGTATTTGCATAGAAAGAATGTCAGTAAAGGCATGATTATGTTCGGTGCCAATGGTAACATGGCTGCGTCCATGTGCCGCATGACTCCGGTGTGGTCTGAACCTTGAACTTGCGGATATAAGTATAGAATTCGACCATGCAGGTCCAAGTCACCGTCTCGCGGTGTAGGATCGCCGCCGAATTTCTTATTTCACAGAGGACTCATTTCCAGAGCATCTCTCATTCGAGTCTCGTGGTGCTTGCAAGGAACTTCTCCTGTGAACGTATGCCTTCCTCCACACCACAGTCCCTCTACAGAGGTTCCATGAAGTATTCACGTTGTGTGAGAATGCCGTTGACCTCACAGTTCTCCAACAGGAACTCATTCATGCTTGGCGTAACAGGACTGGTGTCGTCCAGGGATTTCCTTCGGTTAGCCAGCAGCGATGCCTCTGGAAGCATAGAGACATCAGTTGAATCTGTGGGGTATATCCCACCACCCCCTTCGGTGCCAGTAGAAATCCCCTCATCTGATGGAGTGCTGCAATCCCTAAATGCTCTTGGAGAACCTACTCTTCAAAGTTTAGGACTTGGTTCGAATGTACCATCTGGGATTGCTCAGCAAGCATTTGAGTTCCTCCATGTCCAGTTCCATGAACCTTGGTGGATGGCAATAGCTTTCGGTCAGTGGTAAAATGCCCGTTCTTACTTGCTTGTCTTGGGGTTGACCTAAGCCTAGCCCTAGCCCTAAGCACATCAATATGGTAACCAAATGCCCTATCCAATCTTAGCCATATTATATAGAATGCCCAGTATGCAAGCATTTACTTTTTCTCTCTGCAAGAATAATTAGCTCCTAAGGATGGGCTCCTCCATATCTAATTATGTACACAATTGAAGCATATGTTTTATACGTATCAACTTCCTAACTTAACATCACTTAACAGATTTCTAAGATTTTGTCAAATATGAGATTTTTTTGTTATCCCATGAAGACCTTGTTCCATGGTAGCAACTGTACTCAAAAAATTTCCTGAGGCCAAGGAGAATGACAATGTATCAGCCCTAATTGCCACTTGCATGGAGAATCTGCAGTGATTATTTTCATTTCTTCCTATTGATTTCATCTTATTCATTCCCTATTAATAGTGTAGCCTGCACAACTTGATAAATCTGGATATCTATTTGCCAGCATAATTTTTGTGCAATATCAAGCTAAAATGAACATTTTTATTTACTAACTCTGGCATATTTCAGTTTCAGCTCATTGGGGAGGCATTTTTTGCATTTTCAATGTCATTGAAGTGACAAAGGAAGTGCAAATTCTCAGCATAGTTCCTGAAGTAATTTTTGACAACTGAACAAGACTTGTGAGGATGACATGATATCATATGTGTTTCATACCTGATTTGGTCTAGTCTCCTATCAGGCAAGACATATATGTCTCATCAAATACTAAATAGATGTATAAAAGTCATCTAAATATCTTATCTGTTGATCCATATCATTGATGTACATGTCTTTTGTCAAGTTCATATAAGGCCTTGCCATATATGATCATATATTCATTGCTTCAATGAGAAGATACGGTCGAACATGTTTTCCCATGGAAGTGGAAGATAGTACTCTGGTGCAGAGTGCTTCCTTAATTTCATGTTTATTGTATTAGTGCCTTTAATTTCAGGGACTTTCTTGATCCGTGTTTTCCTGTTCCCTCTTGTGATCATGGCACAGAGGAATGCTGCCATCATGAATAATAACATGCCTCAGCTTCAGCTGTTACAGCTCAAGATGTCTGAGGCCCGACAGATGGGGAATACACTTGAAGGTCAGGCAATCTACCTCACTTCATAACCTACCCTAATCTTTTTCATGTGTCATATTTAACTTCTTTATAATTTTTGTGGTCTGTGGACTGCAGGCTGCTGCTTGAGCATTGGAAAGTAGGCTTGCCTTAATGATCCATAATACCACAAGAAGAGACTTTTGGGTTTCATCATCAGGAGTAAATAGTAAGAACCTGTGTACAACATATAGCAATGTATCATCCAATTGAATAATCCAATTTTCAAGTGAAATTCACCTGCACTAATTAAAAAAAAATCATCAAGTGACCCAGACAAAGCAAAAAATTGCTATCTGAAAAGAACAGAAATGCAAGAGGAATAGCCAAGAGACAGGATATAAAATAACAGCAACAAAAGCTGAAAAGAAACTGTAGGTATTGATGGGTGGGTAAATGAAACAAGGATTACTGAGAATTCCTAGTGCTGGATTTAATATCTATGCAGAAACACATAATGAATAGCTGACTTTTAAATGTCTAAGATTTACCAATATGTGTGATGATTCATCTCATGTTGAAAGGGAATGGGATTGAGTTTTGAAGGTTGGAAGGGATTATATATGAGGCCAAGGGGAATTGATATTCTCCCCCTGCTTTCTCTTTCCTTATGGTATTCTTTTTTCACATTTATTATTTAAATTTAGACAAGTTCATAGGAGAATTAATAGAAAATGTAAAAATGATATATAATCCATATATTTTCACCTTTTTCTTTTAAAGAATGTTAAAAGTTACAGTACTGTAAAACATGCAAATGTTTCCAGTACTTTGCCTCAATTCTATTCTCTTGCAAGTACAATGCAAGGTCATTCCTTTTAATATCAATGTCAGTTATTGTATTAGGTTGTTGCAAAAGTCCTGTCGGTGTTGAATGTAACACGTTCTAATAAGACTTCCAGGCTTTGACAATTCCTGGCGAGTGGGTGGTAGGTATGGGTATATAAGGACAGTCTGTTGTATCTCACTCATCCCATCATCTCTCATGGCCTCTGAGAAATTCACGCCAACGCAGATCCATCTCCGTCACTGCATTCTCTTCCACTTCCACTCTCGCGTCGGAGCTACGGAAGCTCATCGCCGAGTGTGCGCAGTTTATGGCGGAGACATCATAAGTCTTCGCACGGTAGAACGATGGTTTGCCAAATTCTCTTCTGGAGACTACGACGTTGAAGACAGACCGCGGTCCGGACGCCCGACGGAGTTGGATTCTGATGCCCTGAAAGCAGAGCTGGAGAGCAACAGCCAGCAGACCACACGCGGATCGGCAAGCAGTCTCTCCTGCCACTATTCCACCGTATCCCGTGGCCTGGACAAGCTCGGCTTAGTGAATATGCTCGGCCGTTATGTGCCCCACGACCTTACACAGGCGAACAAGGACAGGCGGGTCGACTGTGCCACCGAACTCTTGACGAAGCGCCGGACACATGCTTGGCTCGATCACCTCATTACTGGGGATGAGTCGTGGGTCCTCTACGATACTCCCAAGAGGAAACACCACTGGCTGCGCTCCGGTTCCAAGCCTCCAGTACAGCCAAAAGGCAGTCTGCACCCGAAGAAGCTGTTGCTGTGCATCTGGTGGAGCGAACGAGGAGTTGAGTACTGGGAGCTGCTTCCAGAGAACTCAACGGTCACTGCCCGCATTTACACCACTCAGCTGGCAAATCTCAAAGCGAAACTGGACTCCGATCCTTACTGGGCAGGCCACGTGTTTTTCCAACACGATAACGCGCGCCCACACGTCGCGAACGTCACCCGCAGCACGCTACAGGGGTACGGCTGGGAAGTGATCTGTCACCCACCGTACTCCCCGGACCTTGCCCCTTCTGACTATCATCTATTCCGATCGCTGAAAAATCACCTGGCTGGGAGGAGCTTCACCAATCGACAGGCCATGGAAACCGGCCTCGCAGACTTCTTCGCCTCGAAGCCCAAGTCCTTCTACAGAGAAGGCATCCATGACCTGCCCAGAAGATGGACGAAGGTCATCTGCAACTATGGCGAATATGTGGTCGATTAGGCCTCACTTGTTGCAAAGCTCTAAAGTTGAGAAAATAAAGTTGTCAATACCGACAGGACTTTTGCAACAACCTAATATATTGGCTCCTGAACCTGAAACTTGGACATTCTATAAATTTTTCATTAGCTGCAAGATATGCAAGAGAAATTATGGAATTCATGAAGAAGAATGATATTTCTCCATTCAAGAATATGATGCTCCCATTGGTTCAGGTGAGTAATTGTTTGGTATCAATGCTTCATTCTCCATAAAAAGCAGATCCAGTATAGTTATGAGGGGAGGCACTGATGCATTCCATGTATTCCTGTTTCAGGCCCCTATCTTCATCTCAGTGTTCTTTGGACTCCGCCAGATGGCCAATTTGCCAGTAGAGTCACTGACTACTGGGGGACTCTGGTGGTTCACTGATCTCACTGTTCCAGATCCATTTTATCTTCTGCCCTTGGTCACATCTGCTACTCTATTTCTCACCATACAGGTGCTCCACATTGTCTTGTTTATGGGAAATCCTGATCATCATTTATATAGAAATGGTGAAAGACTCCACAATTCAAACCATGGATGTATTCTATGAAGTTCCTGCTTAGAACATTTGACCTTTTATATTTATTTTGGCTGATGTAGGGAAGACTGGGGTACACAGTGGGACACTGAACTTTTTGTTGCCTAAAATTGGATGGATATGCATGTAAATCTACTGCAAGAGCCATTTTATCACTCCTCATGTACAAGATTTGGTTGTGATCATGCTGCTAAAATGGAAATAGTCTGCAATATTCAAATTTTCTGTCTCTTGACGAAATATTTTGCATGATAGAGTAATTGACCCAGACCAAAATGCCTTGCTTAATTTCCATAATTCACTTCATTGGCAACGCTTGGGTTCTATCCCTGATTATTCATTTGTTTTTTTTTTCAGATTGCTTGAGAGAAAAAATGCTTGATCAGGGTACAGTGGGTCAGGACAATTGGTCATAGGGTCACTGGAACTTAACCTTGACTGTTCCACCATACTGCATGCTGTTACATTTATTAATAATTGCCCTTTTTCAGGTTTTGAAAGCTAAAGGAGAATAGGAGCTAGGAAAATAGGAATTGGACAAGCTTTCTTCAAAATCAAGAAAAAGAATTCAATAAAAAAAATATAATTCTGAGTGCAAGAAAATTAAATGAAATGAAATACAAGAATTGAAAAATATTTTCTGACTTTTTCTTATTATCAAAAGCAGGGTATGTCCCAAAGCACCCCATTGCCTGTCCCACTGTGCCCAGAAGGTGGGGTTCAGTGGGATACTTTGCCTTTGAAATTTCATCATTCAGCAGAAAACTATTTCTTTGAATTTAGAGAGCCTTGATATTTTTTGTAGCCAGGAATGTCCTCTAATGGAAGGATAACTTGGATTCCCAAAATTTTACATGCTAGATACATTTGTGAAAATTAAAAAAAATTAGTATACTTTACCTATCCCCCCTAATCATGTGATTTATCTTTCCTTTCATCTCCTTGGCATATAAGTCATCTTGCAAGCATTGCATCAGTTTGTGAAGAATGTCTGAATCCCTATTCCATTCATTCCGAAGGCATGGTTTTGAGGAGTGTTGGCAGTTGAATTGGATCTTGTTGCTACAGGTGGGAGCTGAAGGTTCATTGGCAAATCCTCAGATGCAAATGGCACGATATTTGCTTCGAGCCATGCCCATCATCATTTTCCCATTCACAATCAACTTCCCTGGGGTATGAAATTCATATTTCTTCCTATGCAGAAAAAGAAATTGTCATAAATTATTTCCTCGTTGATTATAATGCAGTTTTCCTTCCAGAGAGTGAATTGTGAATTGAGTGGTGGTGAATGATCCTAAAAAAAGTGACTTCTTGCTCTGTTTTATATCTTGACCTGGATGATTTTGTGTAGGCAATCCTGGTGTACTGGGTGAGCACGAACTTCATCTCCCTGGCTCAAGTGCTGTTCCTGAGGATCCCTGGCATCCGGGATTACTGTCGAATCCCTCGTCTCAAGCGATATGACCCAGATTCCATGCCTGTGAAGAAGAAAGGCTTCACTGAAGGAGTCAGTGATGGTATGTCCTGTGATATCCACATATTGCAAAAGAACTTAACTGAGGACATTATTTCTTGAGATGACGTTATTCCTGATTGGTTTTCTTGGTTTCTATCTGGTTCATTCCTCTTCAAATCCTCTTGCTGGGTCATCCAAATGTGGGCTTGGATCTTCCTGGTATATCAAGTCTATTGTAAATTGGACTCTATTCAGTGTATAAGTATTCAATTATACAAGTTCTCCTAAATTCAGATAGGAATAAATAGCTCAGTTTTCAATTTAAAAAATTCCCACTAGAGCTTTAGGTTTCAAACTCATTGAAACAAATGTGGGAAAAAGACTAGATACAGGTACCTCAGGTATACCAAGCAGTCATGTGAGAGCCAAGAAATGGACCTGCTGCTTAATTAGGTCTGATTGGTCACTTATGTTGTGTGTGACTTAGTGCAATGAGTGTTGCTTATATGACATATATTGCACAAGTAAATGAAAACACTCTCAAGAGCCTTTCAAAGGCTCAAGAGATCTTTCTTCAAAATCTCCACATAGCTATTGATGTGGAATAACAGAGGAACCTTGGGTACACTTCCCCTCCCTTCATGCAAGGCTGCATGTAAGGCTAAAAAAGTAAAATTCTGAGATCCCCTTTTTTGGGGGAACCCCATTTTTATCTTTTGGTGACTGTATTCTCTTAACCTTTAATTTTTATTATATATATTGGTTTCTCATTTTCATCAAAACTCAGAAGGATCACCTAGTGAGTGGATGTTGAAGAATCGGTCCTGGTTCTCTCATTCTGGCTGCTGACATTCTGTTGAGGTTCATTCTCTGTGTGAAACACTTCAAGAATAGAATCTTATGAATATAATGAACAGTGACATGGCAACTTCTCAATTAGGGATGACAATAATGCAATTCATAAAGCTCATGTTGAATTCCTTTAGTGCCAAGTGTGGTTAAGACTTGAATATGGTTATTTCCAGTAAGCAAAGTTTATGTTGCAGTATCCAGCACAATGGAAAACTTGACTCTTCATAATCGTCTGTCTAAACTTGTCTAAACTAAAAAATGTAGGCATAAGTGAAGTTAATGCTGGAAATGATGTGACAAATTATTGTTTAAAATGCTAATATCTGAGATGTCCTTTAATCTTATTCTGACAAATGGGACAACTGTTGTCCTGCAGAATGTATTTTTCCATGGCCTAAAGGTAAAAATGCAGTGTCACCACTTTTTGGGAAAATGTTATACTAAGTCAATAATTGCTTCACTGTCTACTGTTTCTTTTTAGAACAGTTGCACTACTCAGCTAGTGAGTGTTTACAAACCATGTATTAAAAAAATCTAGCTGCCAGTGTTTATGTGGGAGATTTAAATCCATATGATAAAGGTTAACAACTCTCTACTCAGCTCAGAATTCCACCTTTCTCATTCCATTTGAAATTGTTGGGTAAATTTGCTTTGCCTCTATCAAGTAGCAAATCACATTAACTCAACTCAATATAGTCTTTGAATCATGAAGCTCTTCTAGCTTCTGAAACAGGTGCTTGTATTTGACTTGATATACTCTGAAAGAAAACAGTATTGCCTAGTTTGCAGGGTTGGAGTACCAACATGTGCAATGAATTTGATCTTCTTGATAGCTGCATCAATAATTCCAATAAATTGCTAAGAAAGCAGTAAATTAGTCCTTGTCCATTTGTCCCTATATGTTGGGACACCTTAACCTTCTAATGTTTCAGAAGAGATAATCTAAGCCTGACATGATGACATAGGTGGAATCCATAATAACATAATAATAAATCAGAAATATTTCTCACTAGTTATTGTGTTGTACTTTATACCAACCAATGCAAATGGCAATGATTTGTATTTCCCCTTTATGTTAAAAATTTTCAGTTGCCTTTCTTCAAAACTTTCAGCAACAATATGGCTGGATATCAAGAAACCTTAAATCCAATCAAATGAACACAAACCAACCAGGTTGCTAGTCTGGAAATAGGTCACCATGGAATCATTAGTGTTCTTGTCTTTTTTTGGTCAAGCCACAAAAGAATTCTTTAGATAGGCACAGCTGTGCAAGGTCTTGTTTATTCTCAAATCTTAATGTTTTTTTTTTCCAAACCAAATATGAATATGCATTATCAAGGCTGAGCATATTCCTTTTGGCTCTGTGACCAATCATACCTATTTAAGTATCAGGTTTACTTCTTTGTTTCAACAACACTGCACTGTATGCTTGTGCTTCATGCTGTCTCTAAATTATGAGTACACAACTTGGACAGCTTCTTTCTTCCAGTTGCACAGAGACCAATGCACTAAGAACTTCATGAACCGCATGGTATCTAAATTTGTGTCTGTTTGACCAGCCAAGTAGTTCCATGAAGAAAGATCCTGATAGAAAGCAAGAGAACCAACAGAGAACATCATTCAGCCCATAAAATAATGCCTGAATACTTTGAGCCCAACCTGTCATATGACATCCTAACCACATAGTACATTCAAATTGGCAGGATTGAAAGTGTTAATGCACCATGTGCCTCAATAATTAAAATGAAGTTTTAGCAAGTTTAGGGCTAATGTTCTTAACACCTGAACTATCATATGTGATGCAGACAGCTTGTACACTTTTGTGTGTGCTGGGCCTTGAAAAGGTTTTGGAAGTTAATGTGCTAAATACTCAGACTATAGGAATGTACAGGCTCCTGAAAGCAAGCCTTACCATGAAACTTATCTCTTAATGTACAGGGTGGGCCAAAAATATATTCAGTTATCTTTAATGCTTCTCAGTGTCATTTCTTGAGAGTTTGAAAATATTGCAATAATTTCTCTTTATAGAACATTTATCTAGCTTTCCACTGATGTCAAAAGATTTAAGATTCAATCTGTCATTCTGATGCAGTTACGCAGTGCAACAGAGGTAGCGCTTGAAAAGTGCACTTGCCAGTACCCTACAAGATGTGCTCCAGGGAATGTCCATTCCTTCACTTATGGCGAGTAGATGACCTCTTGCATGCACTAGCTGCCATTGCTGCATTGCACCAACTTTTCCAGTGCCACCTCTTATACTCTTTATCTAACTGCATGAAAGTCATGCCACGAATCTTGATTCTGTTGACATCATTGGAAAGCTGAATGTTCTATACTGAAGCACTATTGCAAATTTAGGAAACTTTTGGGAACCAGTGTTGTGGATTGATGAAGATAACTGAAGAGTTTTTGGCCCACCCTGTACTTGATGGATATGTTCGCTAATGCCCTCTTCAACTGTGCATCTCACTTGCAATTGATGTTGTCCCTACTGAAAACTTCAGCATGGACCAACATGAAGATTGCAAAAGAACTTGAAGACAGAAGGCAAGTGGATGAGATCCAGTTCAAGAAAGCTGGGACAGGGGCCATCAAGAAGACCTACTCTTATGACCCAACAAAACAAGATAAGAGAAGTTAGTCTCCTGGTTCCTGGTGAGGGCGAGTCTGAACTTGTTGTCGTTTGTTTTTGTCTCTTTATGTTGATCAAATAAACTTAAGAGTGTGACAAAGGAAGCTTTAATTTTATTCCAATCATTTCAGTATTTACCCTGGCTTTCATGCAAAAATCATTACCTGGATTCATTTCAGGATTTCCCCAGAGCACTTGGATTATACTGTAATTTCTTTAGATGAAGAATGAACACTATGTATAAAATTTACAATATGTAGTATGCATCATGTCCATGTTGCTAATATGTGAGAATTCTTCCTTCTTTCATTCAATGGTCTTCTGTTTTAGTCTTTTGCTCTGTAAATTTAAAAAATGTTTTTCAGATTCTGACTTCAGCAAATACTATCAAAACATTTGCATGACAAAATATACTGATGTTGATGTACATTGTTCAAAAGAAGTTAACATTGGAATGTTTTTTCTTACATTAAATTAGGCTACTTCTCTTGGCAGTTAAATAGAGGAATGAGTGAGATTTACTTATGGAAAACTTGAAAAACCAATTCTGAGGTTAGACACAAAATAATGAAAATTGGATTCATGAAAATTTATTCACCCACTTACTGCATCTTTGGTTGGAATCTAACAGATCACAAGCTTATTCAAGGGCTCTGCCACTGGATCTTCAACTTGTCAGCTTATCACTTAACATTTTCTCTCATGACTTGCTTAGCTAATATATCATTTTACTTTTAATATCTGGCCTCAACATTTTTTTTGTCCTGCTGGTTTCCAGCTTAAGAAAACTTAAGATTTTCCCATCTTAAATGCTTGAAGATATATGATGTAATATAGGAAAAATCCATTTTTGCCATGATTATTTTATTTTTCAAGCACCCTGCATGTCAATAGTATGCTCATCACAGGCCAGGTTCAGGACAAGACAGAAATGGAAATTAAGTAGGAGTAGATGTACATGCATCATTACAAAAAATGATTACACTTGCATTCTTGAATGTGATTAGAAGCCTCAACCACAAAGCCTGTGGCCCCATTCAGTGAACATGACTGAGAACAGGAATTCATAATGGTTTCAATTGCCTTATTTTGAAGTTCAAGAGGCTGAGACTTCATTTAATGGATTCATATCACCTAATTCTCTGCTGTCACATCAACCATACTTCAAAGCACATTCATTCGACTTTATCATATGATTATCTGGAATATTTGTATTGTGCTTTGTTACCTGAGATTATACAAATAGCAAAGACTAAAACATGCAAAAGACCAAGAAAGAGGTGAGGCAGCAAATGAGTAAATGTGACAAGTCACATGCCTCTGAGAAGGTTGCTGCTGGCAGTTTAACCAGTTTATACTGTGATTTCTTGCATTAAAGGGAACAAGTATATGCATGACTCTTTTAGTTCAGTTCTATCTTAATATTTCCCCTCTCCATCCTTCCACACATACAGGGTATACACAGTAATAGAGTTGGAGCAGCATGATGATGGGTGAATGGGTGTAGAAACTCTCTCCATAGATTATCATCTCTGGACTTCTCTAATCCACTTTCTGTGTGAATGTTTTTGGAAAATTATGCTTCCAAATTCTATGCAAGTCAGTTGTTCAGCTCAGTAATAAAATGTGCCCTCAGGAACTCTGAATGCATGCTTTTGCTTGGAAGGGAGTTTCTTGGTTCTGCCATCTTGAATGGAAAGATCTCATTTTTCAAGGGAAGATTGGTCCTGGAATGTAATACTGGTTTTTCAAGGTAGGCTTCCGCATTCAGAACCAAATAGCATTCACATATGGGAAACACAAGCCTACTTTGCCAACACCACATGATCATGTGGTGTTGACTATACATCTGGCAAAACATCCATTGGGGTGTCAATGACAAATTGGACTTCATGAGCATGAAGTCTGTTAAGTTTAATTTTTGCAAAAGAGACATCCATAGCCTCCCTGTATCTTGTCCAACCTTTTGTAAATGGAGGGCATATTTAATAAATATTACTTTTATGCCCATACTTTACAGACATAACAAGTTTCAGGTTTTATAAGTTAAAAATTTTTCATTTCTGTCACTCATCTCAAAACTGAAGCAATATTTTTTTAATGACCAGGTGCCTAGCAGGTTCACTTTATTCACCTGCATATCCTATCCCAGAAATTCAATTCCTTGTCTCAGGTTTGAAAATAAAATTTGTTTTCCTAAACTAATCTGACTTGATCCTCGACTGCTTGTAGATGCAAAAAACCTCACTTCCACCTGAGATAGATAAGCAAGGGGTGTTCTTACCCTTGGAGTATTGATGTAAGGCTCACTGGAATTAATAAAATCCTTGCTGGAGGGTACATTTTGTCACATGTAGTCCAAAGAGACACAAAAAGTGGATATTGCTTTTTGTCTTTCCTTGGGCTTCATGACAAGTTGGTTAAACATCAATTAATGGACCATTCAGAGTCAGGGTCATGAGAGTTAATCTATTCCCATCAATGAAATCATGGAATCAGATCAGTGTGAGTTAAGATATATCTGGTGCTTGTCATTCCAATGTCAATAGGACTTGAATCTCATGAGGGAGCATTGCAAAGAGGAGTCATTTCAGGTTGGATCCCAAGTTCATTATTTCATTGCTGAAGAAACTGCAGAGAAGACTCATCACTTGCACAGCCTTGCTTTTTTGCTTTACCTTCTCCTATCCTACTCTTGTCTGGACATGAATTCCTTGAGGGAGAATTGTAGGGTGAGCAGAGAGAAGTCCTTTCACAATTCAATATTGAGGGAAAATGGGGGAAAGTCAGCCTCAACTGGCTGGTTTCTTCCTTTCTCTTGCCTTTCTCCCAAAGAACTTGTCTTCTGCATATCTAAGCACTAAAAGAGGATTTTCCCTTTCAATCAAGAAGTCAGATTTAGGTTAGACTGATATATTACAGTTCTTGATAAGGTTGGACCAACCAATGAAACAAGTTCAATATGGAAATTTAGATTTCTCATTCACTGAAGCTCTTGAAAAGACAAATGTTCAAATAACACAGTTCACAATATGCACTGATTCACAACTTGGAGGAGATTCATGTTCTCAAGTGCAGCAGCAACACGTTCCTTGTCAGCCAGCTGTTTATTGATGGCTGCTTCTGATGTATGTGTCCCAGGTGTGATATGAACCCTGACTTTGAAACGAGTTGGGAGGGCACGGAGAAGCTTGACCCGGATGGACAACCCAATGAGTGTGGCCATGCTGCAGTGTGGGATTGTTGGAGTGAATGACACAACCACCTCATTTTTCACATTGTCTACCTGCAACAACAACCATAAAATGACAATGCTTGAAATACTGAGAGATCAACCACCTTTCTCTTCAATTCTGGCATACAGGATTCCCTGATGGAACAGAAGTGAATGTCATACCATTGCCTAAGGCAGAAATCAAACTCGCATTGATAGGGAGCATTGAATTGTATTAGCATGCTCTCTGGGAGAGAAACCTCACTGCTTTTTTATAGAATTAAATCAATTTTAAACAGATTTAAAATATATATATATATCTCAGTGAGGGTGAGTGAGTTGCCAGATTTGCCATTCATGGGAGAATGCCTTTCTTCCTTTGAACGTCAGATGGGAAAAGGTACCCAGACAAAGCTATTGACTCGATCCTTTCTGCTTGGGGGTTGTGAAAGCCCCATGTTTAACAGAGTTCTTGCAACAAAAGACTGGAGTAGATGAAGTTTTCATAGCTGTTTGCAATTTGGCCAAACAATAGTGTGAGCAAGGAGCTCTTCCATGAGGATCAGAGTTTTTGCATGAATCATTAATCCAGTTGATGGGATGACATCTGTGAGACAACCACTGGATGGCAGAGAGAGTATCACAAAGAAATGAAGTTGGAAACACAGAGGGCACATCCTAGCCACCGGAGACAATGCTGCTTAACAAGGTGAGGGTGGAGTTCTTTAATACAAGCTCTAATGTCATCCATACAAATTATATCAGGAGAAAAACAAAAATATTTTAACACGTTGGCGACAATGCGTCCTGATGCCAGGATGCAGATTTTTTTTTTAATACCCATCAGTTTCTTGTTACAGTACTGTATGTCATTCCATGTCTTTGTCAAATATTTGCTGGGTAGAGCAAAAGTTTGATTATTCCAGGAAAGAGAAACAACAGATGTCAAATCNGTTCCAGAAGATTATGATTTCGTAATTACTGATAAAAATTCCAAAAAATTCAACATATTAAAAAAAACTTGGCAAAAAAATGTTTTCTGGGACCATGCATCCTGATGGCAGGACGCATTTTTTGGCAAAAAAAATGCGCATGGTCCCACGCGGCGGACAAGCAAAAATAGGCTGGTCGTCAACGTGTTAAAGGAGAGAAGACTAAACAGCATACCTGAACACTTGGACAATCTCATACTTTCAGGTGGCCAGAGAAATATAGCTATCTGTCATGAAATGATACAGATGTCTCCTGTGTCCTTCAATGGCAGATGGTATCATCAGTGTACTGACATGGTATCTGTCAGTGGGTGAAAGAGAAATTTCTCAGAAATAAACTCTTTCCTGATTGTACCAATCAAATCAATTATCAAGGGAAATGAGCGTCAATTCAGTGTCTATATCAAGGGTAGCCTCCAGTAAATTTTCTCCAATTTCTGCCTTCCACAAGTGCAGGGAAATGAAAAACAGGATGATGAAACTTCTTATTTCCTCCATTCAAAGACACCCTGATGGACCAGAAGTAACTGCTGTTATTGTCAGAAACAGCATGCAAACATTCATTTACACTTTGCTTCATCAGCTTTTCAAGTTATAAAAAAAGGAAAACCTCCCTGGTGGTTCCCTGGTTGAAACAGCACCTATTGGTCTTCAAGGATTTGACATCTGTTGTTTCTCTTTCCTGGAATAATCAAACTTTTGCTCTACCCAGCAAATATTTGACAAAGACATGGAATGACATACAGTACTGTAACAAGAAACTGATGGGTATTGAAAAAAAAGTACTTAGACATATTCAGGACAAGGACTGTTCATCTGTTCCATTACTAAACACAAAAAAAGGGGATAAGCCTACTTTTCCATCAAAAATGTAAAAATATGGACCTAGATTTTCTCACTTATTAATTGCTCTGTCCAACATTGAGAAAGATAAGAAAGAATAACACCACATCTAACTTGCAAGGAGAGAAACATACATGGATGTTGTCCTCATCAACAACATTCAGCTCTTCTAATGTCAAGGGGTGCTCTGGATCATTGATGCCTCGAATCAGATCTGCAGAAAACAAGTAAATCTAATCAAATAGATGAGACCAACATATTGACCAAATAAGTCAATGCAATGTCCATGTTCCTCTACCCAATAAATATTGAATATTGCAAATAATTATTTTCTTGTTGTTTGTGCATGCACATAGGCCAATGTAATCATGCCAAGCATAACTTCTTTTGAAATAAAATGAATGAATTTAGTTATCATTGCTACATGCAGTTATTAGGCCTTTTAGGGATGGCTTACAGCCAATATAAAAAATATAATTCAGTGTTGACTGCATTATACTCTGATGGAGCTAGCCAGTTGAAAATGGAACACATAATTGTATCCATTTATGAAGTGTGAAGTCACTCTGACCTGTCCTCTGAGAGCATGGTACCTTAAAATGCGATTTGTAAGCCACATGTACCACGCAAAGTGCCACAATGAACATCCACTTAATAGGAATAAAGTGGATGTTTACTGTCTTAGAAGCTCTCCATAGGTAGAGCATCTACTACAATAGGAACTACAGGATCACACCAAATATTTCCAGGGCATCAAAGGGATCCTCCACAGACTCATTTTCATCCTCTGGACTGATGACTCTTGTTTTTTTCTTTTGATAAATTATGGGATTTGCATTCTCCAGTCTTTCTTTTCCAGACATTTGCTTCACGAGCGACAGAAAATCATCTCCATTCACCTGAAACTGTAAATCAAGAAAAACCTACCATCACATGCCTATCAATACTCCTATAAGTGCAGTATAAATAGGCTAGCTTCCATTACATACATAGCCTAGCCAATTGCTTATGCCTATGGTCCCCCAATAATTATGTCCATAAAAAAGCTACATGTGATTTTTGGCCTGGACTCCTCCAAAATGTAGGCAAACCAAAAACACAGTAAATTGAATCAATTATGATAGCGACATACATGTAAATGCAACCAACCATAGACTGCAGGTCTGGTTTCAAGAAAATCTATACTCAGCTGCATTGCACATATACATAAAGAAATGCATTACATTCCTCTGTAGTTACCAAACTCAAGATAGCCTGCCAGGAACACCAGCACATAGCAACATGAGTGTAAAACTTCTTGTCACTACCGTTGTCCCTAGCATTAAGAATCAAATTTGTTAGAAAATCATTGACTCTCCCTTTCCAGACTCACTGCAAGCATTAGGGTTATACTGAATCCCAGTGTCCCAATAGAAGAGAGAACAAAATGGTAGAGCTCCTTGAGGAAGAACAAATCTGTAAGGACATGCAAGATGTCACACTTGCTCCCCATGTTTGCTTTGGTAACTAAAATAAGTCAGCAGGAGGAAATGAGATTTGCCACAACCATGGTCTATCCATATTGCCCAAAATTGATAAAGGTTGGACAATATCTGGATCATGCATAAGAGGCATCAAGCAATTGCTCAGGCCTATGGATGGATATGGGCCTCTAAATTCCATTCAATGAACAGGGAATGTCTGATCATAGAAACCCCATATATTCAAGAGGGAAGAATGGGTCAGAGCATCAACTTGCTGAAAGATTATGGATTCCCAAAAGGAAGAAAGCCTTTCTATTGAATGCGCTCGCAAATAATCGTAAATAATAGTAAATAATAGGTGCACGAAAAATCAACTAACGTTACAATTAATCATTTTCTAAAATCCCGATGGGGCTTCCGCATGGGCATTCGTCATACAATCCAGGGCTGCGACGTGACCAGTATTTTACGAGACACTCCCAAAGAAATTCAACAGGACTTTATATCCCAAGGAGACGGAAAGGTGACAGCCCTACATCCACAATTCATTTAACTAAAACCAACTCATGTTGAAGGTGGTAGGGATTGAAAGCGAAACCACTGCACCAGATTCTACCTATAAGGTGCCGAAACAACTGTACCCACGGGCTAACACCGGTAAAGCAATCTCTAGATTCGGCGTCGGATTCGGAACTCTGCTTTTACGTGTCTAGTCAACCCCAGGCTTGTCGTTAACTCTTTAAATCCCACGCCCGAGTATACTCGTGATAGCTACGTGGAAACTTAGGAAACTCGGGAGTTAAAGGGTTAATTGTGGAATAATGTTACTCTAGTTTCGGATTGTATTCGTTTCCCATCTGAGTAGGGTAAACACCCCAGTTTCTGGCCGGTCTCCATTTGTTGGCCAGTGAGGCTTGAACCCAGCATAATTAGTTTATCTGACCGTTTTCAAGCGTTGTATCATCTTCCCGTACGAGGACCTATTACTAGTGTTTCCCGGTGTGCGCACAGGGTGTCCACGTTCTATGGGAGTCGTACCAGCGTGGCCAAAAACTGGGGTGTTTATACTGTTTTAGGCTTGAATTCGTAACCACCTCTCCCGTACCCATTGAAGCGCTCCCATTAGTTGCAGGCAGGGACTTCTTCAAGATGGGTGGTTTCGAGGATCATCTGGAAGTAGTGCTTTCTCCATTCTTCGCTACTTAATCAAAGTTGAAAACGAACTAATGATGTGTGAAAATTGGAGAAAGCATCATTCCCCATCATTCTTCAGATGATCTACGTAGCTACTCATATGCAAGAGATCTTTGCCTGCAATCGACGGAAGCTTTCCAAAGGAAGGGGAGGGGGTGAACGAATTCAATCCAGTAACAACGTCATCATAAAATAAGAACAACGTCTGTATTCAGGAAAACAAAAACAAAAAAAAACACGAATGCCATCTCAACTGAATCAGATATTGGTGAAGCCATTTGGCTTCTCAGAAATTAAGTCTGTCCAAGTAAACGCAGCATCGTTGTGGGAATGTTCAGGGAGTGTCATTCCAGTGTCGTCACCGTTGAACGTTCAAGTCCAGAGTTGCATGAATAACACTAGTGTATATTTACAACAGTATCAAATTTAATGTGGTTGTTGGCATATGTTAAAAAGGGATGGCTGGCAGGCCACCTGGTAGTTCTTTCAACATTGTTCAGCCAGCGGAAGCTAGATAATGCCTAAATTGTCAATGTGGCAACCCAGCAAACAGTAGCGTTGTGGGAACGTTCAGCTAGAGTCAATACAATGTCATCAACGTTGAAGGTCAAAGTCCAAAGTTGCCTGAATATTATAGCAGTGTTACGGCACTAAGATACCTTCCCAGCAAACAAGGCTACGTTGGACCAACGTTGTATCAACGTTCCTAACGTTTATTCAATGTTGACTCAACGCTGACCTAACGTTATGTGTTTGAAATTGTTTGCTGGGTATAGACATCGTGCCCAGTGTTGGACCAGCATTGAGCCAATATCTGGTGTTACTGGGGTGGTAACACTGGATAGGTTTCTTGAAAATCTTGAAAATCGGTCGTTTCTTAAAAAAAAAAATTTGTTCCCTATTTGGCGATGCATGCTCCATGATACTGGCATAAATATTATTAAAAAATGCGATTTAAGAAGGTATCATAATGCCATAACACTGCTACAATATTCACTCAACGTCGATGAGATTGTATTAACTCTAGGGGAACGTTCCCACAACGCTAATATGTTTGATGGGTTGTGACTTCTCTTGAAATTCCGAAGTAAAACCTCCATTTACACAAAGGTACGTCAAATAGGACGGTAGACATACTTCTCTCTTGCAGAGAAGGATTGGAATTGTGATGCGAGCAGATCTAGAAATTTTTCATGGGGGGGGGGAGCGGTTCCCCAGTTCATTCCCTCTCCCCCTTCCACCACCCACCCTCCTATCGCCTTTAAAATTTTTTGTATGGGGTTAAAACCTGAATATCCACTTTATAAGCCCTAATACAAATTAGGTTATGTATTATTTAACTTTAATAAGATAGGTTGCGAACTGACCATAGGTCACCCTCCCCCCCCCCCTTGGATATGCCACTGAATTCGAGTGGGCATACCTTGGGAACTAAGCGGTGACTCACTTGCAGTGTTGGGCGCGTTACTTTTGAAAAGTAACTAGTTACAATTACAAGTATGTCATCCAAAAAGTAATTAGTTACCANAGGCAATTTCATGTCCCCGTCTTTCCTCCCAATAGTGCATCAATTAGGATGCATGTGGCCATGAAGCGCTGGTTGTTTTCAGCTAAATTAGTAAATCATCCAGAAAAGGAATGCGCTAAAATAACGCCACATGCTTTTCCCATGAAAAAGGAACTAGTTACCGGTTCCGTTACCCTCCCCTGAAAAGTAACTCGTTACCTCGAAAGTTACTGAAAAAAGTAATTAGTTACTGAAACGCGTTACTTTTACTTCGTTACCGCCCAACACTGCTCACTTGTAACGCGAGGTAAGATTTATTAGTACATTTTTTCTTGTAAAGGAACTTAAGACATTCGAGAAAAGATGCAGTATTAACTGAAATACTTCCACTCAAGAGGACTAAAGAGGGCGTTCAACTGGATGTTTCAATAAACATTAGAATCTTTGCTCAAAGTTCGGCTGGAATGCTCCGCCAATGTTACGATGGTCGAAACTAATGCTCACGTTGTGTTGATTGTATGCTCGTATGTTTGTTATTATAGGGTTTTTGGCAGCTTATCACCCAAAGCAAAGCCATGGCAATAGTAGACAGACGGAATGAGAGAGGAAGAAAAAGTACCGAAAGAATCTTAATATCTGCCATTTTCGCATAGGTTATTATGAGAATAGCAGTGTGGGCGCGGCCGCCGAATGGGATTACGTGTTCTCCGTGTACGTAAAAGGGCCCTATTATATATGTACTGACTCCAATTAGATAAGTACCGGTGAGATTCGGAAGGACTAGGCTGGTCAGCAACAATAACAATGGATATATTGGATGTATACCACTCACTCGTATAGTCTACTGTACAGGCACCAGGCATGGGGCGGGGGGGGGGGGGGGGGGGGGGGGGGGGGGGGGGGGGGGGGGCAAACCCCACCCGAGAGAAGAAAATTATTGCCTCCAAGGGGGCGCCAGGGGTGCGGCAGTCCCCCTCCCCCTGCCCCCTGTAATATAGGCCACTGATGGATGTCATTCTGTTGAAGCTTCTGCACGACTTTCGCGACCAGATTTTCGGCATTCTGGTCGTTGGTGATCTACATAAGGCTGGTGGTCTACACATAACACATTGGCATAATCCTTCGAAGTACTGTGATACAAAGAACCTGACGAACTTGTTGATGCATAATGATACAATCCTATCAATTAACACTCAACAAACGTCTCTCAATAAGAACGGTACGTTTTGGGAATACATTCAGATAAAAATAAAGGTTACGATTAGAAAATACTACTCCTGAAATTGGAAGAAGTAGCGCAAGGAGTGAGTGAGACTTGAATGTTGACTTTCGCTGTGAAATTTGATTACTTTTTGCCTTTGAATTTTCTTCAAATTCGTCGGAGACAAACAATTGGATATTGAGCATCGAAGGGGAGGAAAATTTGTCAATTTTTTCGACTGAAAGTTGTAAGCAGGTAATATTTCTGTCCTGTTGTTAATAAAGTCATTGGCTTTCTGAACGTGTTAATGAACTGTGGTGCAGGCCGCGGATGGAGTTGGGCTTCTGCAGAAGCAGAACGATGTGGAATGACAGAACCTTGGTGATGAATCCCGCGAGGGCTGACGCGTGAAAACGAAGACCCGAATCCGAAGCTGAATCCAGGGATAGACTTGCTGACGATACTTTTGAGACATGTGAGGAACAGAAGTCCGTGAGCCCGTGAGAGCAAGGAAAGGAAAACAATGCATTCAGTGTTTATTTAGATTGCAGGTTATGACCATGGTGGGGAAGGAAGCAGAAGAGCAAGTGATACTTGCTACGGGGGGATATGACCACACAATCCGTTTATGGCAAGCGCATACAGGTAGCTGCCTTAAGACAATGCAGCATCCTAACTCGGTGAGTTTCTGTGAAGATGCCGTCGATATTAAGGCAGATCTAGGCCTATTAGTATTTTTCATGAAGTGGATTCATTTGGATACGTGGATGATTTCTTGATTGACCTTGTGAGTTTGCATTCGGTATCTTCATTCATCTAGGCCTACTTATCTATCTGATCACTGGTCAGGACCGGGACTAACTTGTTCCGTGTATCGGAACTTTTACTTGGCTTGCAGTAAATCCTTTAATATTTCCAGCAGGATGCCTCATTTATTCCACTTGAATCTGGAAAGCATTCATGGGATGAGATTAACAAAAAAAGGCATTGCCTATTGACCAAGCTAGCTTGGCCCCAACTTCAAGTTTGTGATGGGAATCGTGACCACAATCATCACTCTTAATGTCATAAAGCTTCCAGTAGCTCACCAAATGCAGGCATGTCTTTTAAGGCTAAGGAAGGTGCTTCCTTTGCCTTGTGGGAAGAATTTAAGCTGACTTTTCAACTTATCAGTGGGGAGGCTAACTGCTGTTTTCTTTTACAGCAGGTGAATGCCCTGGAAATCTCACCTGACAACCAGTTGCTTGCTGCAGCAGGTAACATATGTAGTTCTTTTATTAATATAATCTTTATGGCAATTGTTTTTCCATCCTCATTTACTTCATCTGCTGTAGCTGTGAAGATTTTGTTACAATGAAAACTGAGTTTTGTGCTTAATTTAGATGCCCAGTAAAATAATACTCTTTAAGGATTTCTGTATAGCATGTCATCCTTTGGGACTCAATAATCATCCATTAGACATGTCTCTAAACAATATTTTGGTTAGGTTTGCATTCAGATTTTGTCAGGGAGATTCAGATTTTCTCATGCACTTCCATTCATCTACAGCTTTCTTAGACCCACCACTTTTTCTGATTTGCATGGGAAGGAGAGTTGATCATAATGAGGGAGCTCATTCAGTACTTCTCACTAGATATATATATATAGCCTAGTTAAAAGGGATATCATGCAGGTGACTAAATGTAATGAAAATAATCAAGGTAACATTTTTTTATTGTATCACATTAGTACTTCTTTCATTTCAATTTGAATGCTTAGCTTAGCCTTATTTGGAAATATATCAGTATAGAATTTTTACTAGAACAAATTCTTGTATTAGAATCTTGCTTTTGTGCCATATGAAGAGTAAGTGGAAACTGTTAGATTATATTTTTTCTGGTTTAAAATGATTATCACAATAGAAATAAGCCATGCAATACATATGAAAATGTGAGGATTTTGAATCCCATAGAGTGAGATTGAAATTTTTCATCCCAACAGCATGGGCTTTCATTTAGGCTGATAGGCATACTTGAATATTTTGTGCTTTGGAGTGGAACATTTAAAAATTATTATTTTGTGAGGTATCTATGGCAAGTAACAATGCTGTGTTATGTATTTTGGGACACAGGATACCAGCACATCCGCATGTATGATGTGGCTTCTGGAAATGATACTCCTGTTATCAATTATGAAGGGGTGTCCAAGAACATAACAGCAGTAGGGTTTCAGGAGAATGGTCGGTGGATGTTCACTGGTGGAGAAGACCATACAGCCCGCATCTGGGATCTCAGGTCCTCTTTCCTCTTATTATCCTTAAAAATAAGCCTCCCACTGGCTTGGAAAAGTTGGAGATATTGACCCCTTCTTAGTTTATTATATTTAAAAAATTGCATAACATTTTGTTTTAACCCTTTGAGGAGTGGGTTTTTTTAATGCCTAGATCACCCGTAGTGAATACATGGAGGGCAGGAGGATGTCAGCCTGTATACATGGTGGGCCAGAAGTAAGGAAACACGTTTGAACTCTAACAAAACCAATGGAAAACCAATCCAACTAAACAGTGGTACACACAAAAACACATGTTTATGAAGTATTCAAAGCCATAAATATTTTCATGAAAATTGTTGCATGTGTCAACTGTTGAAGTTTTTTTTACAAGTACAGTCTTACAGGTAGTAATAGGCAAACTCGCTGGTATGATTCCACTGGCAATCTCCACATTGTGACAACAATAGGATCCCTGAGTGCGGAAGAGTCCTAGCGTTCATCTCGTGCACAATGCCTTAGATTGGACAGCAGAAAAATAAGTCAGCTGGAGTCAAATCCAGAGACCATGCTGATCAAACAGGTGCAATGAGCTGGAGCCCTATCTTGCATGAAGATTTTATTTCAATTAATTTTAGATGCCATGGTAGGAATGATTTTTCCATTCACCTTTTTGTGATAGCAGTCTGCCATGTTTATTCACGATAGTGCTTCGACCCATCATGCTCACCTCATTCACGATTTCTGAAATGAAGATTTCCTGGCTAGCGGATCAGATGGCTTGGGCTGATTGATTCACCAGCATGATCTCTGGATTTGACTCCATCTGACTTATTTTTCTACTGTCCAATCTAAGGCATTGTCCATGAGATGAACGCTAGGACTCTTCTGCACTCAGGGATCCTATTGTTGTCACAATGTGGAGATTGCCAGTGGAATCATACCAGCGAGTTTGCCTATTACTACCTGTAAGACTGTACTTGTAAGAAAAACTTCAACAGTTGACACATACAACAATTTTCATGAAAATATTTATGGCTTTGAATACTTCATAAACATGTGTTTTTGTGTGTACCACTGTTTAGTTGGATTGGTTTTCCATAAAAGTTTTGTTAGAGTTCAAACGTGTTTCCTTACTTCTGGCCCAGCCTGTATATACAGGCATATTTGTCAAAGGATTAAAGGGTTGTGGAAGGTCAGTTACTATTCAAGAAAAGCAGTCATGTTTAGAAAATACAGGTTAGATGAACTTTATATGGTAAGAAAAATTATGTAGTCATTTTGGCATTTCCAGAACTCTGGGTTTGGGCAAAATGCTCTTTTGTCACTGATTTAAAAATGATCAAGAAATGGGAAATTCTTTGGAGGCTATGGTGATATATGCTCACTGCCTACTATCTGTATAGTTTTCAGTTGGTAAAGAAGTAAAACTCTGTTTATCAGCTTGAGTTTCAAGACATCAAAGTCTACCTTTCTGGTACCTTGTAGCATAGCATATCTATCCTTATTTGAAAAAATGAAAAAGTTAGTGATTGACTTGCCTTTATTTTAATTCTGTGAAATGCAGTTTTAGACAACTAACATCATTTTGGTTTTGATGAAGCAGAAATTAGTTTTTAATGCACTTGATATGGAAATCCATATTTTTTGTAAAATTCCCCTTACATAAATGCAACCCTGTCATCTTAACAGGTCTCGTTCATTTGAGTGCCAGCGGATTTTCCAGTTGACTGCTCCTGTGAACTGTGCCTTCCTTCATCCCAATCAAGCTGCATTGATTGTGGGTGATCAAAGTGGAGTCATTCATATCTGGGATCTCAAGACCAATCATTATGAGCAGCTGGTGAGTGAATGCCCTTTTTGAGGGAGTATGGTGACTTTTCCTGAGTTTTCTAATGTTACCCTCAACCAAAGGTGCAAGTTAGCAGTTGTCACTTGCCAATTGGTCATGAAAGACCATTTTGCATTGAAGGTTCAATTAGAGTAAATATGAAGTGTGCTCATTACTTTCAACCAAACAGCATTAGCAGATGAGAAACAGCCGATTCAAAGGCTATTTCATATAGATTCATTCCTGTGCATTATTAGAAAATGAGTGATTCTATCCACCCAAACATATATGGCACATATATTGAGGATATGCCAAAAATTTTCACTTAGATTTTAACTATTGTAGCAAACTCTCTGAACTCTACTGTAGCTTCAGCAGCATGAGCCTCATGAATTCTGTCATTTATAACCTTAGAAATCCCTGTCATTGAAACAAAACTCAAAATTTTCACCCTCATTTCTTTTCTTTTTTTAACTTGAGTGCTTTTAAATTCCCCAGTTTTTGTTAACTCTGGGTTTGAAACATACTGCATGCATGGTGCACAACCAGAGACATATCATTTGACAGATTTGCACTCTGCTATTTATATAAATAGGAGAAAAATTATAACATCTAAGTTGAAATCCAATGGCATCTTAATATCTCAGTTATGTGACCTTATTACTCTGTTTAACTCTACTTGTATGCTTGATGAGCACCTGCATGCAGAAACAGATACATCAGTAGAAATGTTTGCATGCATTTAAAATTGAGATACTTGTTTCCAAGTAGAAAATATAGCTGAATAAGAAAATGCAATATTTCCTAAATCTTTCATGAAATATATATGAAATCTTCCATGAAGTTTATCTGAGTCCAAAAAATATTTTGGATGTACAACACTAATCTTACTAAAAGCACTTTCAATGTATCCCTTGCATTCAGATAGCAACTTCAGAAAATGTTTAAGGGTGGATTTTTGAACAGAGCATTATCCGATAATGCTGCTTTATTTCAGAGAAAATGCATTATAAATCCGGTAAATAAAGCAGCATTATCGGATAGTTCTCTGTTCAAAAATCGACCCTAAGGCTTTTATTTTGTGCCAGTTTGACTTGGAATGCTTTGTTTTTATTCTTATGTCAAAATGACAAATGATACAAATGACACGATTTTTCATGCCCTGTAGGTCCCAGAACCAGATGCATCTGTGCAATCAGTTTGTGTATCTCCACGTGGAGACCTTATGGCTGCAGTCAACAACAAGGGTATTGCATATATTTGGGCCTACAAGGTGGAAGGGCAGCTAGAACCCAAGAAGAAACTCATTGCACATGCTCGCTATGCCCTTCAGTGCCATTTCTCTCCTGATGGAATGTCAGTGGTCATCCTTCACCAGTCTTATTCAGGGTATTAGTGCTTCTAAAGTGCTTGTCATTGGGTGCAGGTACCTGGTGACAACCTCTGCTGACCAGACAGCTAAGCTTTGGTCCTCTGAAGACTTCTCCCTTTTCCAGACACTGGCTGATCCAGCTCAGCGCTGGGTTTGGGATATTGGGTTCAGTGCTGATTCTCAATACATCTTCACTGGTAACTCATCCAATGTCAATCAAAATTTCATGCATTCCATTTCCTTGGTATTGTAGTACCCAATCAGAAGAACTGTGCGCTCTATAATATAAGTTGTAAATAAGCAGAAGTGGTAATTAGTGATTTACTAGGTCCCATAGGTACCAATCTGACTGAAGTCTCATTTTTATCCAGTTTGAGACCTGATTTGACATTAATGATCCTGAAAGTGACCTTCACCATCATTATCTGACATTGTTTCACTTCTGAGATGGAAAATTTTACCTTGAAGTACACTTATTGCAAGTTTCACACTTTTATCACAGAACTCACAATTCATCTGATATTCTGGCTTACTTGCTATGCTAAGAATGAATATATTCCATGGATGTCTTCAGAGAATGAAATAATGTTGTCTATATGAGGTGAAGAGATGACATTAAGTGTGAAGGATAAGGTTTACCATTGTGGAAACAATTGATTCTTCTCAGAACAAAGGCCAGATGAGATGGATGGAGAGTGGGTTTTCAAACTGCAATCTTCTCAATTTGTTTGTTTGTCTAAAGTCAGTGGCAAATGGTTTATCCCTTAAAGTAGTATTGTTTTCTTTGTAAGAAATTGCTTGCATTGCATGCCCATAAAATGGCTACAACACTTCTGTGATATGCTGATGGAAGGTAATTGTGGGCATTGTATAAACCTTGATATCATCAAATGATTCTCAAACAGCTCCAACTTTGAAGATGGAACTTGCTCTGCAAAAATTCCCTTCAGATTCTGCTTAACAATAACTTCCCTTAATGGATGGATTGATCCATCATCATATGGAAACCTTCCTGGATTCTGGTACCCTTCTGTCAATATGAGCATGTATCACCATAGTTTTTTTTTTTGGACAGCTTCATCGGATGCAACAGCTCGCCTCTGGCAAGTGGAAACAGGTGAGATCAAACGAGAATATACAGGCCATCAGAAGGCAGTCACTGCTATTGCATTCCGAGACGTCCTCAAGTAATGCATCCCTTCATATCCTGACCTGTGATATCATTTCTCATCTCTGCCTGTTTCATTTTTGTTGTCATGTCCATGTGGAGCTTATGAATGAAATTTTCTTATTATAAAATGGCAGATCTAGAAAAATGAGGTTATTATCTCTCATCTTTAATGCACAGATTGGGTATTGACTCAACCACATGCATCGTGTGGCTATTATCCAATGTTTTCAATTTAGTCAAGACATGCAATTTTCTTATTTATGGGGTCTAAAAGTCTCAGATCATGATCATGCCTTGAACCTGAACAATCATATTTAAAAAATGGTTGACATTTGTTTAATGGAAAGACTAACATGTAAGTTGGGATGTAGTAAATCCTAGTGGAAATATTCAACGAGTAATTAACCCTTTATGTCGTGCCATTCATGCCTTTATTGGTTGGAAAAATTATTTTGGGAAATTGAAAATATCAGTGGAGACAATCTGAGACCTGGTTGGCTACCATGGTCCTGTTTTTTGAGGGGAGGATTTAGTGACCATGGTTGTATGAATTTACAGCCTGGCATTTTTGTCAGCCCTTTTGGTCATGTTTCATGCTTGGAAATCAACAGTCCTCTTCAAGCTTCCTTCCCCATAAACTGGTAACACTGACTGGGCTGTGTGATGTATTAGTCAAATATTTGTATATAGAAATTTGCTGAGAAAGACATGGGAATTAACTGAATGAATGATTTTATCATGGGCTTTGTTACTGCGCTTTGACTTAAGAAAAAAGAGAGGGATATCAAGCTTTTGAGTTGCCTGCAGTTTTGAGAATCTAAGAGAGTTCAAGGTGCATTTATTTTTCCAATTAGGAGATGAGAGAGGCTGCAATTCCCTAAGTCCAGAAAGAGATGTTCTTTAGGAATTAGCAGTAATCTTTGGCCTTCCCGAAAGCAAAGCACAAGAACAAAAAGCACTGCTCTACGTATGATGCTAGAAGCGCGGACCTCGTGAGAAGACGAAAGGAAGCCTTTATATCTCAGCTGTTACTGCTGTCCTACAGAGTCGCAGTATGTGCGGGGAATCTGGTAAACTTGAATGGACATTGGACATGATGAGGACACATTCCATGTGTCTCGTTTTCTTTACGGATTCAGACATTACGCAACGCAACGCGTAAATTCCCTCCGAAATTTAGGGAGGAGCATTGGGGTTATACATTTTTCCCTCCTGGAGAGGACTTCCTGTTCTCTGTCTGGGTCAGATTGTTCTTTTTCTCTCGAACGAGCATGAGATGTTACGGTTTTCCTACACTGTACGCGAGTTGGCGAAGATAGTTTAAAATTTGACGTATATTTTACCCATGAATTCGAACGAAACGGATTCTGATCTGTATGCCATGTCGTACAGGCCCATCCTTTCCTGGACGGCTTTCAAACCCATATCTATTAGAGCATGCCTCGACCGCTCGGAAAAACTCCTCTTGAGCCCACTCCGATAGGATGGATCTTCTTCGGTGTATTCTGTCCCATTCAGAGCAGTGAGATGTAGTTACAACGGGGAAAAAAAAAAAAACAAGAGAAGAGAAACGCCCCTGATCTTACAAGACTTCTCTTTCGAGCTGTTACACATGTAATCTACGAAGGAACGGCCTTTAAACTCGATATATTTGCCAGGTTTTGCGGGGCGGAATATATAGGAAGGGGGTGGTGACACTTACAAAATTAAGTTACAGAATTATCACGAAAGGTCGGAGAGAGTCCTTGTTTTCAATAGACCAAAGGAAAGTAATTGATTGGATTGAATTGAATGATGGGAAATTACCAGCTCTTACTCTAAGAACACAACATGCGAGTGTTTATACCTTTTTCATTTAAAAATACTTTTACGATACTGAAAAGCAGACAGGATGAACTTTTTCCCCTACACCTTTACCTGCATCATGTCAGAAGCCAAAGAATGCTTTCACTTGATCCAACCCGATCGATGCAAGTCTTGGAGCTGGCTGTGCGGGACAGCGATGACTTCGCAAAATGAACTTGTGTTGATATTTTATCTTTCATTCTCCAAGTTCAGGGAGGAAAGTGGGAGCTCGATTGAAATCCAGTTAATCAATTAACCTTATCACTATGACCTGGGGCCCGGGCGGACCCTACCCCTTTTGTTTTATTCTACGACAAAAAAAGACTCGTTTACTACAGGTCAATATTCAGTGACAGCTCATGCTAGTGTGTTTCAAAGACGGTGGCAACGCATACTGAAAATCAAAGTCCGTGCGGGCATATCACACGTCGCAGTGATATGCTTAAATGGCATGTCTGGCATCATATGTCTTATGTTTCTTAACACGTTGGCGACAATGCGTCCTGATGCCAGGATGCAGATTTTTTTTCCAATTAGGAGATGAGAGAGGCTGCAATTCCCTAAGTCCAGAAAGAGATGTTCTTTAGGAATTAGCAGTAATCTTTGGCCTTCCTATGTTTTCTGGGACCATGCGTCCTGATGGCAGGACGCATTTTTTGACAAAAAAAAAGCGCGTGGTCCCACGCGGCGGACAAGCAAAAATAGGCTGGTCGTCAACGTGTTAACCGACACCTCCAATTGATAATCATTAAAGTGATTTAGTCATTATTATCCTTGTCTTCCTACAGATGGAAGTAATTGACAATTTCTCCAAGGATGAGAATCTAGTCTCGTTCTTGGACCAGGGTTTCCAGGTAAAGGAGCAAGTGAGTCGCATCCTGGAAGGGCCTGGAGTGTCCCAACAATTGGAAAAGCTTAATGCAGCCGTAGACTCAGTGGATGATGCCCTCAAGGAGGAAACATCGCTTCATTACAAGGAGCTTCTGTCCCATGCGACAGAAATGGAGAAACTGGAAGTTGTTCTTCAGAATGTCACAGGTCGCTGCGAGTCCCTGCTGTCCTCCGTAGAACGACTGCGATTCAAGGTTGCCGAGCCGTATAAGAAGCTTGCGGGGCAGATGAGGCTCTTGAGCAACCTGCAGGAATCCTGCGACGTCTTGCGACGAGTGATACGCATAACCTACCTGAGCAAGCGCTTGGAGCAGCATCTCCATGGGAAGGAGACGACCAAAGCGGCTCAAACGCTCAACGAACTGGACGCAGTGACCCGAGACATCGATCTCACGTCCCTGGAAGTGTTGGAGAAACAGCAGCGGCTCATGCGACAGGGGAAGCTAGACGTGGAAAAGGAAGCCAAGGGGATGTTGGATAAGGGCTTGGACGTCCAGAATCAGACCCAGATCGCCACTGCTCTCCTCATCTTCCATAATCTGGGGATGCTGCATAGTGTCATTGATGCTCTAGTGAAGTCTTTACAAGAGGAGATGGGTTCCTCCATCTCATCATCTCTCAACGTCGATCAACTCTCTAAGGCAGCAGCCAAGGAGTCTGGGTCCGTGGGGCCTGGCAAAGCTCTCATGCCCAATCCAGGTGCCTTCAGAGGTACCCTTTGGAGCAGTCTGGAGCAGATGTTCGACAGAGTGAGCAGCTGCTGCATGAAGATCCAGAATCTGGAGAAGGTTCTAGAAAAGAAGCGAGATCCGATGTCAGGATCTTGCTTCCTTCATGAGCTTGGACCCCAACACCAGAATCTATCCAATACATTCTGGGCCCAGTTCAACTCATCCCTGAAGGAACACCTCCAGCGAGGAAGCAACAAGTCCATGGTGATGAAGCAAGCCCTTGAAAGTGAATACCCGAGGCTCTTGAAACTTTACAGCGATGTGATGAAGAAACTCGGGATGGGTTCCTCCAGCGACGTGTCGTCAACTCTGGGTGCTTACGAAAATGCCTACTTATCTCTGTCTCTCTCCCGCTTATTTGATCCCGTGAATCTGATGTTTGACAGCTCAGATACCATCCCGTCCCGCGAAGAAGTGGATATAGCCACCAAGACGATTCACAATGAGCTTCAAATAGGGTCAGTGGATCCACACTTGAATGCTGTTATTGCAAGAAACGTTGGGAAGACCATTCAGCTCTTTTGTGCCAAGTGTGAGCAGCTGTTGTCCACCGATGAGGATGCCGTGCAAGTGAGCGGCCCACTCACCGTCCGAGGCCAGCTGAATGCTGATACCATCAACCTTCTTCACTACTTCGAACGGCAACTCTTGAAACTCCAGCTCCCATCCCTCCTGAATCCTGATTTGGATCACCTCAGGCATCAGATTCGGTTCGGTCTCAAGCCACATATGGAAGCGATATCTGGAGCAATCGAGATGATCTTGCTTACGATGCATGCAGAGGACTTCACCAAGAGTTCAGACAGTCCCTCCCCTTACATGAAAGAGCTGATGGGATTCGTTAGACGAGTCTCGAGGGATTACATCCCCGCTTATCATAGCACCGAGTTGCTCGACAAAGAGTTCCTGTTACCGATGGTAGGATCCACGATGAAGAAGTTTGTGTGGAACGTTGCCTTGTTGAAGCAGACCTCGGAAAGCGGTCGGCAGAGACTATCGGGCGATATGAACCATCTTGAGGAAATTTTACCTCTCCTTTATCCACATCTGAGTCAGGCAGGAAAGTCGTACAAACTATTCCGTGCACTCCGTCCCATGCTCCTACAAGCAACACCTAACCTCGCTTCAACGGTTGCGATCGGTGACCTCGTTCCTCTGAGCCTCGTTCTCCACCTCATGTTAGGCAGATGCGAAGATCTCCCCAATCTCCCGGAGATGAGACGCGAAAAGCCAGAAGAATGCCTACAACAGTTAGAGAAGAGGAGCGAGAAGGAGAGAATAGCCTGTTTTCGCGATTCCCTCGAGAAACAGACTCAAGACATCCAAGCTCGCGGTCTCGTCGTCCCTCCCCTGTTTTCCCAAATCATGGCACTTTTAGAGGAGAAGGGGAGCATTTCACAGTGAGGGTGAGTCAGCATATACTTATGGTGGTTTCACGAGGGGATATTTTATTGCCTTTATGGTTTTGGTTCAAATCAATATGGATGCCACTGAAATGAAGTTGGTGTTGGATAAATAAAGTTTATTGAATGAAATGAGCTTTTATTGCGCACAAAGATTGAACTTGATAAATACTCAAATCATATGCGAGAAACACTAACATCGATCATAAGCTGAAAATATTTTCAACTTATGGAAATACCGAATGATGAACTAATGATCACTTA